AGACCCCGACCCTGAAGACCATAGATTTGTGGGGGCAGTATCCAGTTTTTGAGAGTTTGAGGGTCCAAGTGGATGTGTGTTTTTGGGCGCCCCTTGAGGTTTGTTTCAAAGAGCAGAGACCAACAGATAAGCCAGACTTTGGGGGGAATTAATTGCCCATAGTTTGGGAGACTTCGACATGAGCAGATCTTCTGAGCAGAACTCTACACACTGGGGCACCATCGCTGTGTTCAAAGCAGGGAACCGCTGTCCGATATGTTCGAATCTTCCCTAATCATCATCAACCTCGGGAGAATTGAAATCCTGGTGCTAAGCACGCGATGAGCTTCTACTGTACGTTTGGCTTGCTCTATGCGTATCCTTTTTGTGTGTTCAGCAATGCAAAGCACAAAGTACCAACAAACCATGTGGGAGAGGCCGTAATATCCCGGATACTGTATCCACGCGGTCCACTGAGTTTGTTGTGACCAGCTGGCGCACTGTCTAGGGCGGGGTTTGAACCAAGTGATTGGCGTGTGGACCAGATTTGTTTGCTCCTCGGAATGATCCCATCACATGTATAGGTAACAATCTGTTTTGCATTCTAAATGGGAGCACAAGTTCTCCTCGAGCGTGTCCAATCACTTCCTAAATGCCGTGCTCGGATTTCACCTCATGACAAGAGAGCCGTAGGCAAGGCTGGCCTTTTTAATTTTTGCTTGGAGGTCAACTGTGCCCGGCAAGTCTAGAGCAATCCACTCTTGACTGATGCTGCCGTTATCTGCCGTTATGGAAGCTATATGTCTTTATAGTTGAGCCTTCCACCTCCAAGACCGCGAGTACGCATCAGCCGTGCGCAGGGCAAAGAGCCGTCTCCTTTTGTGCCGAGAACTTAAAGCAGGCGTTCTGCAACTGCGTTTAGCTTAAATTGTGTTTCTGTTTGACTGAAAAGCCGGACAGCCAATCTGATATCGTCTAGGTCCCCCAGTAGTGCCCTTTTACCGTTTTTGGGGAAAATAGACCGCAACAAGTTGGTACCCATATTCTAACCTCTCAAATCTGGAGGCCCTAGTTTGTTGTTTGGTGGCGATTGGCTGGCAAGGAAAGACATGAAGGACAAGGAGCAAGAGATCAGCACGGCTGCCAAGTGCCTGGGCCAAGGGGATCCAAGGGGCAAGGCCATGGGCTATCATCAAATGCCCGCGCCCATGGAACCAATGTCTGATCCAACCGAATGATCCATGGAACCGAAAATTTAAAGTGTTGAGCCAGTTTGTTGGCAAAATTTCAATTATCACTATACTATCTCTATATAGAACCCCGATTAGACTCGACTATTTAACCCCCAAATAATTTCTGCTTGAAATTAGCTCTACGTGTGATTAGCAACCCATCCCAGCGGCCCAATTCCTGAGTTGCACCCGAGGTATGTCGAAGACCTCCATGGCGAGTGCGACTGGCTGCTGAAGAACTTTGACCTCCGCGCCTCCGCACGCTCCGAAGAGAAGGACCGGGATCCGCCGTTGGTCGTCGCCTTTAGACGGGTCCGGTTTGGGTTTGGTGGGTTTGCGACGAAATCTCCCGACCCTAAAAAGTGATGGCCTAAACCCTCACAATGCCCTTACAAATAGGTTTTTGCTCAAAGCTACGGGGTGAATTCCCTTTTAAAACCAACCTGAAGGAGCTGAGTTCATTCCCGGGGCAAAAAGAAAGCCATTTGTTGCTGCCCCTATCAAATGATACGTGCAAGGTTTGGCAGTTAGTCTCCGTGGCGGACTTTAGTCTTCTTTTTGGCCGGGGGGAACTATCTGGGAAGTTCCACCAACTATTCCATGTGCTCTTGGGAAAAAAGGGGTAGCCCCGAAATGGCTTGCCCTGGTAAATGGAAGGAAGTTGACTAAAACCTGCGGTCCATATCCAGGTGCTTCATTTTTGACCCATTCCCATTTTATCCCCGAGCTGACTCCCGTTGATTCGGGGCGTGAACTGCCTCGCTTCTAGTGGCCTTGCCAATTAGCGTCTGAAGTTCCGGCGTCCTTGCATTGCCGTTTCAGAAAACGTCTCTATGTCCCCCCTCTTGGTTTTGTAGGGAATCTACCACTGCTGGAAATATGTTCTGTTTCTTTTGCTATTTGTCATTATTTTTCTAGGGGGCTTAAGCAAATGGAAGAGGATCCCTTGGCCGTAGAAAGCTTTCCGGAGTTGGTACACCTCTGGATTGTATTTCTCACCGAGCGGCAAAGTGGCGTCTCCTCCGAATTGACGACTAAATACGAAGCATGCGAAAATACTGGTGGACCAAATCCACTTCCCAGTTGCAAATAAAGCCCTACAAGTATTGGTTGATCTAGATTCCGTCCAGGTCCGTCCATCATTGTCTGCCACCGGGTCAACCGCCAACGGCGCTCTCTCGACACGTCGCATGCGAAGAAACTTCTCCGGGCGAGGATAGCCTGATCCGCGCCAAGACGGTGTTGTCTGGCATGTGAGGCCTAGGCTATAGCGCGTGAGCCGCAGGACTCAGCACGTGGTTTTTTTTGTTGTTGCTTTTATTTTTCTCCAGAAACCAAGGCAACACATGAACAAGATGGCACGAAGAAAGCGCGTCAGACAAGAAAACATGGACTCTGATTCAATAGATTATTGGCTTGTTGAAGAACAACAGGTTGCTTTGGCCTCTTCCAATCATGTTCTTTCAAATGCGACATGGGGTGTGTTTGATTCTGCAAGCTATAATCAGTGGAAGGAAAAGTGACAGACGTCTCACTCGACACATGTGGTCCCAATGGCGCCATTCGCCACTGGGTCTTTCCGTGCATGTGGCGGCAAAGAGTGAATCGGTGCCCGGGGCGGAGGGGGGGTTGGCGCCAGAAGGGTTGACAGGTGACCTCTGGGGGTGGTGGTGTGGTCCTTTTGTTAAAGGCGGCATGAAAGAAGATCCCTGCCGCTTTGTTGCTCTTTATTTATTCGCTTGGGCTCTCGAAAAATGGCTAGACTACACAATCTCAAATCACAGAAAGAGTACTCAGAGCAGAGCTTGTGCCGAGTCAGGTGATGTGTGTGTGTGTGCCAATGTGGATGCCAGAAGATCTGGATGAGAGGGTTTCTCAAGGGTGCCTACCTTCAAACCAATTACTGGCTCCAGGAACAATATGTCTACTGTGGATGAACCAAGTCCTACACTTGGATGACTCCAATTGGTTCATATGGATGCTGTCCACGGGTTTGGCACCACTTTTGTTCGGACAGCACGCTTGATCCCCAGTGGCGCCGTGAGGTCTGGCGAGGTGAAGCCGAGCGAGCCGGGCTTCGCCAGAGATGTCGGGGTTGGACCGGAAATTGGAGGGTAGACCAAGATGAGATACCTGGTGTCTCCTTCCGACCCTTAAAGAATGGTTGGTCATTACACAAAATAATGGTTGGTCATAGACCCATTTGTAAAGGGTCATGGAGACTCCAGGTAGGTTTTTTGTTGATGCTGCGAGCCCAATCCGCCTGGTTGATGTTCATCGGGGTGCCCCCTTGTTGGGATTCATCACCCTAGTAGGACGGCTTGTTTGTTCACGACTAGATTCCCTTGGCACTCAAAAACATGTTTTCAGGGGCCCTGACGGATTTGTCTTGTACTGTCATGTTGAGCGTGTCACTTTGAACCCCATGAAGCAAAGTGGCCAGTGACTTTAGATAGGTTTCCATGTGCTGCTTTTTCTTGGGAGTTGCTCGAGGGTGGGGCAAGCAAACAAAAGCCTTCAACTCTGGGGATAAGCGGTTGACTCAACTTGAAAAAGGTATGTGAGCCAAAATCAAAACCCGGGTAAGTGGCAGGTGTGCTGGCAGGATGCGGTGTGCTGGCAGGATGCGTGTCCAAACGCCCACCCTTTAAAGAGGATTTCCACGTAGGGAACCCCCAAATATTGGGGGGCCTCAAATAGCTCCTTGAAGGCTCAGGCAGCGGTGAGCCTTTCGGCTCTGCTGGAGGTTTGGGACTGGGAGAGGACTACCTTGCTATTGACCAACAAAGGGGAAAGGGGAAGCCATCCGTGGCAAAACCAGTTAAGACTCCCGGGCGGACGCAATCCATGTCGCACCGCTTTTGTCGGCATTTAGCGGTGAATTCTCATTCGGTCTCAGAAAGGTTGCGAAATGGCGAGTGGCTCAAAAAAAAACGGTACATGGAACCCTGGTAAGTGGAAACATGGACCACCTGCGGTTTGCCCCTCTCGTTTCATTTTGAGCCACACCCAAATGTCCACAGAATGGCTTGAAGCACCGGGCTTAGGTCTTTGCCCAGCGTGGCCAGTGCCCCGGCCTTGGCTGGGCGTGCGAGCCCTACAGGCGCGCCTGCGAGCCCTACAGGCGAAAACCGCCAGCTTGGAGCCGCCGGATTCCAACCAAACATGGGTGTGGGGGAATGGTGCGCCCCAGAAATGGAGGTTTCTCGTCGGATTCGCTTCACAACCCCAGGCATACCCAATGTTGCAAGCAAGCAAAGAACGCGGCAGCTGGGGATCCGCCATCTACCATGGGCCATGAGATTTACCTGCAGGAATTTGCTACGGTGAGTCAACCTGAGCATTCCCATTGCCACATCGGCCACCAAGAGAAGGCATTGCAGAACTTTGAAACCTCTAGCTCATGATAGTTTTTGTTGCTTGGCTCATCACCCTCCAAGGAGTTGGCAGTTGGGAGGAGCCAGCCAGTTAGCAGAATAACAAGGGGCCAAAGTTCGCCTGAACAGCTGCTGCGCGCAGGCCAGATTTTCGTGCGGTTTTTGAAATGGCATTGCGGATTCATGTGCCAAAGGCCGGTGTTTGCGAGCTGAGCGTGCGCAGCATGGCTGTTGGCCTGCGCACATGTGCGTGTCTGTTGTTTCGTGCGACCTTGCCCAGTCCCAGTCTGCGAATTTCCGCAGAGTAAGATCTTCGACTAGTATTTGGTCAGCTCGGCGCACCTGGAGAGTCTGCAGAGTTTACTCTCAGACCAAACGTTTCGTGATCGGAACCGCACCGAACGGCTCGTAGCATCCGCCTGCCAAACGAAGCAGTTCTGCATCAAGATCCTTGCGGGTTTTGAGCCTAGGTGCCAAATAAGCTGAAGGCCAATCACTTTGTGTGTTCCGGGTGCTACAAGTTGCCCAGAATGGTTAATGTACCCAAAGGGAAAGCAAAGGAGCGTTGTTCTTTTTTTTGGGGGGGGACCCTACATAGCAATAGACGCAACACAGTGTCGTTGTCCAGGGGTGTGTTGGCCACTCACATGCATTTGTAGAAGGACCATCTTCTACTGAACTTGTAAGGATGGATGAGTATCTATACCAACGTGTTGGAAACAGATATGATATGTTCCTATCCACCAGGTTGCTTTCCCTCATCAACTTCAGTTTCCTATGATTGCCCAGAGGGTCTCGAAATGACCTGCAGAGGAGCTGAAGGCCTTCTACACTTTCTCTTCATTGAGTTCTTCTCTTTTTTATATTATTTCGGTCTGTTTGTTTGTCTGTCTTTCTTTGCGTCTTTCTTTGTTTCTTAGCCGTGACAACATATCTGGGACTGGAGTTTCATTCGGGCTGTCAAAAGCTCGTGGTTTGCGCCAGGTGCCTGGTTCAGCGCCTTGTTTTTTTTTCTGCGCCAGGCTCCGTGCCGTTGCTTGGGCCCTTGGCTGCGTCTGGCTCAGGCGCTGGAGGCGAGGTAGGGTGGGCCTTGTGCCAGTCAGCGCAGTCAGCCTGTTCAATATGAGGGGCCAAAACTCCCATCCATTTTAGTGGTACTGGCTTCATATACTTTAGAGTAAGGCCTTTTTGTGTTGAATGCGCAACCCATTGATGCGGAAGAGAGGTTCATTCAAGCCTGAATCCCTTCACGATCAGCTGAATTGACAACTTTTGTTCCATACTGGCGATGACTCAACAAGGTGATTGGTTGAACTCTGTGGTGAGCATCTTTTTAACCGCTTAAAGGTGACATCCAACATATATATCATATATACATGATTTGGCATTTGTTGCAAAAACAAGTGAAATACGGCATTACAAGCTTTTTGTTGGTCAGCAGATGCTAAACGTATCAGTGTCAGTCATCAACACCCCAATCCCTCCCACACCATGGCCTCCCATCCCATCTCCCATCTCCCCTCTCCCACCCCATTTCTACCCCATTCCATTCCAGCCCATCTATTCCATTTCGATTTGACGGCATTAATTTATTTTGCACATGTGCCAAACCATCCGTTTGACTGCGATACTTGTTGGATGCAACAGGATCTAGCAGCACCAGCCCACTATCTTGGAGTTCTGACCCCGGTAAACCCAAATCAGGGCTTGTGTCAAAATCGGGAAACCCGGGTAGATGAAGTTTGGAAAGGACAATCCCAGCCATAAATAGCTGCGGCCGCCTTCTTAATTCTTTACATGGTTCTGGGTCGACCATTTTAGTACTGGGTTTTGATTATGACTCACATGGCGTTTTGCAAAACAACCCCAGCCGGAGTACCATGAAAACACGCCATATGACTAAAACCTGGACATTTGCAGTTTGCCAGCCCCATGTTCCACAGCGACATCGGCCGCTGTTTGCAACGGCCCACTCCCCGCGACATCCTCGCACCATGGCCAAACCCTAAGGCGAATACACGCCAACAACAAAGAAGCAGATGCAAGAGTCCACCACAAAGACCGTCAACCTACTTGTGGCTCACAACCACGGCCATAAATAAGCAAACCCCAGTTCTCACAGCAAGAAGCATGGCTATAACCTACTTGCTAAGTAGGGTGTTCTTCAATGATACGGCCTTTGGTGCCGCTGGTACGTGTCACCTTAAACAAAGTGACACCAAACAGGTTTCACAAGGGTGAACATTCAAGCGGCCCGCCCTCATGCCTATCACATGCTAACCTACTTGCTTAGGTTGAAATCCACCCCCCCTTCCCCCCTCAAGTGCATGAAGAAAAGCTGAATGAACGTCGTAAGCTACAGAGTGAGGTCAGTCTCAATGAGCAGAAGATCGTTTCATTTGAAACGCAAGCGGAGTTCCAGAAATCAGCTCAGACGTCGTATCCTGCCCTGCCATTTGATCGGATCCCAGCCTCCCCCCTCCCCCCCTCGACCCCTTGAACCCTCGGCGTGGATCGGAGCCGAAGATCCGAACCGCACGGCCGCAGGGGTGAAAGAGAGCTTCGAGGCGACGAGCGTTTGCTTGCAGCGGGTCTTCAACGAGTCCAACACGAAGGCAGAGGCCACCAAGTCCTTGCGCCTTGGAGCGAGCGAGGGGCCACCCATTTTGATGTTCAGGGGTACAGGGTTTTGGACCCACAGCCATATTTCCTGGCTGCTTTTGAACATCACCTGCTTGGCCCATGCAAGGTGAGTGCCGGAGATGTTTGGAGGGGAAATATAGGGAGCCGTGAGAAAGGCCGAGCGAACTTGAGGCTAAGGTGGAACAACATGGAGTTGTTTCCTTCCTTCCCCCCAACATAAAGAAACAAGAAGGACTGAACGAAAAACACTTTTCTTGATTTGGCGGCCATGGAGTGGTTGTATCACTTTGTTTGCTAAGCTGAAGCTGCTGGTTCGATCTGCAACCGTGGGATTTTCGAGGGAAGGCGCTTGGATGGTTCATGGCTCCATTTCCCGAGCAGTGGGGGGGGGGACGGATGCCCGGAGGCCAGGAAAACTGATCTACAGGATGTATCCTCTGAGGTTTGTATGGTGCCTTCAGCCTGGCGTCTCTTGAAACCAGGCTGAAAAGGGTATTTTTAACGTTAAACGCGCCCAAATGAAAGAGTTCCTCTCTCAGGGCAACATGGCAGATGTTTGGAGCATCCAAGTGCTGGTGGCTCGCAGGTTCGGCTTGTCGGCTTGATGGTTTGGTTCGCGCAATGAGTGCTTTGTTCATGTGCTTCAGCTTCGACCATGGGCTGATGTTGGCGAGCGTGTGCTTGTGCATGTTGGAACGGTTCCTGGAGGCGTGTATGGGTGGCTTGGTCAATGGCCTGACTTGGTGCTTAGTTAAGTGCTTAATAAAGGCCTTATGAATCAGGCAGGCAACCCTAAACGGATTCTAACGAAGGGACAAGCATGTGTTTTTTCGCATCCTGGAGTCCATTCGAACCGGACATTTAGGGTCACCCAAAGCCTATGGAACCTGAAAAATTGGCCGTCAAGAGAGGAAACAGGCACCCGCAAACACAGTTTTTATGTAGGGAGGGTATCCCCCATACAAAATGTCGTTGTCGTGCTCGACTTTTGGGCAAGGAGCACGGTGGTCATGATCCTGGGCAACTTCCTGAAAGATCCCAACTCCGAGCGCAACCGTGGCTCGGGGAAAAAGAAGACCCGCCATGCAAGGCAACCGGAGGTAAGGACATGCAGATCTCCCCAGGTGTTTGGTGGCAATCTCAGCAATCTCAACCATGTGTTGTTTGTTTCTTTGGAAGGGGGGTTTAGCTTGTTTTGTTTTTTGTGTTTTTTTTCTTTTGGGGGGCGTCCAGATCCAGAGTTCTCACCTTCGGGATCCAACCCCTTAGCGTCCGACGGAAAGACTCTCCAAAACTCTCCGAGGGCTCCAATGAACCCTCTAGGACCCACAAATTGCCCTGTTGGTTTGTCCCTAAACCAAGAGAAGAAGCGTACCAACCCTGAAAAAACAGAACATGCCTATAGATAGCACCCAATGTGTGCTTGCAGAGGTCCTTGATCCATTTTGCAATGTCTCACAATACACGAACCCTCGACGTTACGGCCCTTTCGGTTTCCCTTCAAAGCTATCCAACTCCGAAAAAAATGACACACACACACACAAAAAAAAAAGAGAAGACACGCCAGTAGGGTGGTACCAACTCCAAAACCCAAAGGACGCAGCCCCCGCCAAACAAAGGCCGCCCCCCTCCCCCCCCCCACCCCCCCGCCCAAAAAAAGAAGCCGACCAAACCCATCAAAACGCCTGCCCCCGCCCCCCAAAAAAAAAACACACGCAACAGTCCACGGAAGCAACAACGACAATCCAAGGGGGGGGAAAACCACAAAAACAGATCCCCCCCCCAAAAAAGAAACAATCACCAATTCTCCAAGGGTAACCCAAAAAAACAAAACAAAAGAAGAAAAAAAAGAGCGCCGAGGCAAGGTGAACACCTCGGGGGCGCGCTTCGCGGAGATCTTCGGGAACAACTCGGCGGCCGCGGAGCTCCTGAAGCTGGCGGGCTTCCAGCGGCTCGCGTCGGAGCGGAGCCGGGGGGGGAAACTGGCGGAAGATGCGAACGACCCTCAGAAGACCCACAACAAACGGAGGTCACCACAGAAGTTTGGGGCGATCACCCGTGTTTCAGGGTAGTTTGAGGAGGATTCACCCCATATTTTTTGGCAAAGAAAACAGTATTGAAGGTCAGTTGGGCCCGTTTTGGGCGGCCAAACAAGGGAAAGACTCTGAGTTTTGGCTTCATATACAGGCCCAAAATGGTCCAAATGACCGATTCTTGGCCAGGTCCTAATTTCTACTCACGCCACATTGCCCGAAACCGGAGATCCCGGCGATCCCCACTCAAGAGGCAGGGGTCCTTGGTCAGCTGGTGCCATCACTTGTGCAGGGGATGCTTTGTAGAAATGTCTGGGCGCCTCTCTCGGAAAAATCGGTAATGCACTGGACTCAGGTCCCAGTTTTCCTCTTGCACGGGTCCAAGACAGAAAATATTTTGTGCTCGAATGTTTTCGGCACAAGAAGTGCCCGAAACGTTTCTGGGAGCCAGGGACTTGGCGCTAGTGTAGTGACCAGAATTTGGGCAGTTGTTGAAATTGCGCTCGGTTGCGCAGATTTGCGCCCGGGTTTTGCGAAATTGCTTGCGCCCGAAGTTGCGCCGAATTGCGCTCGAAACGCGGTGCGCATTTCGGGCCAAGCCGTCTTTAAAACTGTTCGTTTCCAATCGGGCAGAACAAGGCGCTCAAACTCCGAAAGTGCAATTGAGCACTTTTTTCTGCCAGGTAATGTACTTTGTGAGGGGTTCGGATTCAAGCGGCTTTCTCTCTCTAGAAGTCAACACTGGCCTTTGTTTCATGGCAACAAGCCGTGTCCATTTCGTGCCGGGGGGGGGTTCTTCACTTCAGCTGCAAACCGATTGATCAGAGTTCAGTCGGTCGGGTCGCTGAGGTATCAGCATCCGAACTTCGTGTGCGAGAGCGGGCAGGGCACAGAAGCTGCGCAGCGCACCTTGGAGCTGACGCAGGATGCCCAACGGAACCTGGAGCAAAACTGGGCCTCGCGCTCCGGCGCCAGCGGCGCGAGCGCCGGAGCCGCGAGCGCGAGCGGAGCTGCCGCCAGCGGAGGCGCGAGCGGAGCGGCCGCGAGCCCTGAAGTGGCGACGACTCCGGCGCCAACAGCCCAAGCTGCTCGGCCTTGGGCGAAGGCGCCGCCCGGCACGCCGGCGCCCTGGCTGAGCATGACGCGAGACATTAGCGAGGAGCCGCAGCCGGTGCAAGTGCCTCAGCTGGCTGCAACTGTTTTGTGTTGCCCAGTTTTGAGCAATTGTTCCCTGGCCTCTAAAGATAATTACTCCATAATTTGTTGATTTCTCTTATAGGAAGCCAACAGGAAATGCAATTTGTTCGACCCCAATTTAGCAAACAGGTACCCATGTCCCTTTAGCAAGTGAGGTACCGGTGCAGCCGGTGCAGCCAGTGCAGCCGGTGCAGCCCATGCAACCCGCGCCCGCCCCGGCCCACCCAGCAGAGACGCTGCCGCCGGCCATCGCCCACCCCGCAGAGTCGCAGAGTCAGCAGAGTCAGCAGAGCCCAGCGCCGCAACCCACACCCAGCGCGCCCCAAACGCAGCACTTGCCCATTGCCCATCCTGCAGAGGCTTCCGCACGAGCCCGAGTGAGAGGTGGTCTGAGGGTTCCCTGTTTTTATGCCTTGAAGGGACTCCAAAAGGAAGACACGAGTCGGCATATGGGGTATTTCTTGAAAACAGCCAACCCCCTTGGAAGGGACGCCAGAAGGAAACCAAAAACACACCCATGTTGAATGTGTGGATGCGATTTCTGCCAAAAAAATGCACACCATCGGAATGTTCGACGCGCTTTCAGCTGAGGTGGTGGCTCACCCTGCGGAAGCCATGGCGCCCGAGGAGGAGGTCTCCGAGCCGCAAAGCGGTGGATGAGCGAGCGAGCGAGCGAGTCAGCGCCGGCAGAAAAGCGGGGCACGGCGGAGCGGCAGTGCAGCCGCTGCAACTCGCCAGTGGATGGACGAATCCCTTTCGCAGCACCGTTCAGCGACCCTGGAATGATGGTTCCCTGCAAATGCCAACAAACCATGGGTTCCCATGGTTTCAAGGTGGCGCGAAATGGATTTCCTCCATCCACAGTATGGGATATTCCGCAGTGGGCTGGACTTCCAAATTCCGGTGAGGAGAACGAAATATGGACCAGGAGCAAAGCATGTGTTTTTGGTTGGCGGGCAAAAGCTGAGTTGCGTGGTATCATCCCCTTTCTCAGTGGGACGCGGTAGGAGAAAGGTTCCAAGACATGTGCCAACGTTGGCATCAAGCAACTGAGCATGTTGCATCCAACTTTGGCTCGGTGAAGCAAGAGCAAACACGGCCGCAAGGCGAGCTGTGGCTTCCGACTGAGCACTAATGTTGACCCCGGATTAAGAAACCCCTGCTTATTAATATGGGGGTGTCCCTGGCTTTAGTGGAGATTTATCACTTTTGGAGGGTAAAACCCCCAAATTAGTAAACAGGGGTTTATTAATCCGGGATCAACATTACTCAAGATCTTTCTCCAACTGGGGGTTGAAGACTATGAACAGTGGCAGAAACCACCTACCAAGTGGTGCATATTTGTGTCCATTCGCAGTAGCTCTTTGTTTTGCCGGAAATGCCTCTTACCACAACATGAAGGTTGATATGTCCCAATAGCATGAGGAACGGTGACAAGACGCCTTGCTTTGTCGAGGTGCCTTCGGCTTGAGGATAACCCTCACTGATTGACATGGCTATAATTTTTCATGGGGAACCTCCTGAAAAGTGGTTTGTGGAGACAAATCTCGCTCAAACGCAGGCTATGAATTTCAATAGAAAACCACCTCAAACGCGGGCGGACATGAATCCCCGCCTAAATGATGCCCGCCATTTCGGGTTCCATTATTACACAAATCACACCCACGCACCATGAACGACACCCCTCAATTCACTGTTGTCCAAAACTCACATACAACAGCTGCTCAGATGTCTGCACAGTACAGCAGCTCGACCTGCCCAATGTGTGCATAGGAACCTCGCTGGATTCCTCGCTTGATTGCGCCCCCTTTGCACTGGGGCAAACATATGTAGCCAAAGTTGTGAGCATGGCCACATTGAGACGTCTACCAATCTTTCTGTTGGGCTCAGAATGTTGTGTCTTCGATGACAACCCGCTGCCTCCCCCCATTGGATGTGGATGTGTGTTCTCATGTATGTCTATATACTGAGGGTACTTTCCTGCTGACAATCTAGTGAAGGATGCTGTTGAGGATGAGAAGGATGCACTGCGTTCAATTGCTCAAACGCACAGCCACTGCAAAAATGCACCCTTTTTGCAGCCCAACTTGCCGCCATTTATATATATATATATATATATGTTGAAAGGGGATACCGATACGAGCCCCGGCCCGCCTCAGGGTGTCTTTTTGTCTTTCCGAGGGTACTCTTTTGGGGTTGGTTTAAAGGCAAGCCAAAGGTAAACCCGCGGTCTCAAAAAAAGACACTTCCAACTTCCAGCATTTTTTTGCGTGTGTTTTGAGGACACAGACCATGCCGGAGGGTGTGTTTTGAGACCTCGTCCGCCTTCCGCAGCTTGTCGGGTTGGAGCTATCCACCCGCACGATCTAAAGTCAGGCCGGGCCCTAAGCTGAGCTATGCCAGACCCATGGCACAAAAGAAATGGCTGTGGCACCCAACAACATAGGTACCCGAAATGGAACGCTGGTGAGTGGACACATGGACCAAAAAAAATGACCAAACCCCAGCTGATTGTTTTTTTTGAGCCACATCCATTTGGGTGTTTTGAGTAGCCTATGGAGGCTGGGTGGAAGGACACCTCACTGGGGTCTCTGTGGGACATAGTGTGGCTTGTGAGTGGTGTGTTGGGAGCCAGTGAAGTGAACTAGCTACCCAGAAGCTTCCGCATTTTAGCTTGTTGCCTAATCTAGGTAAGTCATAGCTTTGTGACATAGGCCAAAGCTCCAAATTGCCGTGAGTTGAGTCAGCACGATGGCAGGCGAAGCAATTTCCCGCCGCCTTCCGCAATGCTGAACCCACTTGGCATATAACTACAATGATTTAGGGGTAGAGAACAAAAAGCAGCCACACATGCAAGCTGCAAGTTGATCCATACCCCCACCCCCTCAAATATGGAATTGGGGGAGGGGGGGGACCCCTGGAATTTTCCATTTATGGTAGCTCCATTTCCGTTTTATGGGAAGACTAGAGGGACCCCCCCCCCGGGGGGGGGGACACCTAGATGCTCTCAAGTCTCCAGTCGTGTTGGGTCGGCTGTAGTGGTTGCACTTCGGATGGGCTGTGGGACAGTCGGACAGGGAGATTGGGTAACGGCTGTCAGGAAGGATCTGGTATACCGCCCTCTCAGACTTATTGCAGAGGTGGTAGCATTCTTCCATTTGTCCAGTGGCTAGAGCTGTTGATGGGGAGAACTCCTCAACATGATTGGATACATATCATCTTCATGTTGATGTCCACCAAACAAGAATCATACCACATTTGTTTTTTAAAAAAAATAAACCACAGGTATCATCGGCGTGTACTAGAGCTTTGGTGTTTTCCTGCTTTACAAGCATCCAGTGAGTATGTTTTCCTTGCTGGTGCTCAGCAGGGAATGAGGGAATGAACCCAGGGGTGACCTTAAAAGGACGCCATGTGGCCAAGGGATGGTTTGTAGGGTCAATCCCCCATCCACTGAGCACCAAGTCACGGCATGGGCCTGGAAACCTGAAACCTGCAAGCTGGTTGTGAGATCCGCCTGGCAAGGCCTTGCATTTGGTGCACTTCCATGGCGTCCGGGCCGGGAAGTCCCAGAAAGATCTGACTCGCAAAGCGGCCCTGATCGATCGATCCCAGGCGTCTAGGTGCAGTTGGGTGCACTTGGCTGCCCCCCCAGTTGGGTTGGTTCGTCCCCCCCCCCAGTTCAGCTTGTTCTCGTCCCCTTGCTGGTACTACAAGAAAGAACCATGTGCCATGTGCCTTTTACCCTGGTGCCAGCCAAATGTCCGTTTATTTTTTTTGATGGGCAGTTTTCTGGGCTGCCTCTGTACAAGAAAATGAAGTCACTGTGAGGGACTTGATTAGGGGGTCGGTGTTGAAGGTGTTGCTGGATGCGGTTGGGGATGGCGATCTCGAGGGTTTTCAGCTTGGATATGTTGCTTGGACATGGGGTGCTGTGTTGTTCACCCGTGACCCGGGCAGTTTCGCGTACCAATGCTTTACCCATGTGACTTGGAAACCACGTCGCGGAGGGGCGCTTCTTTGTGCATGTGAATCAGCCTTTGGAAGGGCCGTGGCTACACATCTTTAAGTTGTGGGTTGCTTTGCAGAGAGGTGGTCTTAAGAAGCCCCGGGCAATATGTGTATGTGACACTTGCAAGCTGCCGATGGGAGCCCAAAGGGCTTCCTCTCAGTCTACAAGTAAGGGTTCTTTGGGAATGCTGATTCGCAAGAGTGTAGTTTATTGTGGGAATGCTGATTTTGGTAACGCTGATTTTGGGAACGCTTGACAAGGCAATTAAACTTGTTTGGGATAAAGACGGTAATTGCAAGCGTTGGCGTTCGATGTTTGGCGAGTCCTTTACGACATTTGCTCAGGGACCTTACCGTACGTGAAAAGTCCTCCTTGAGCGGTCAACTAGTGTAACTAGTGGGTCCATAGTTCGGACAGATAGGCAACCACCCCTCTACGAGTCGAACTAAGAGGGGAGCAGAAGCCAACTCAGTTCTCGGCGATGAGCTTCTGAGGCCCCGATGTCCAGATTTTCCGGCTGTTCGTTTCGGTGTTTGGCAGGTCCGCGCAGGCTCCGATGTACCAGTCGGCAGCCAAGTCGGAGTCTCCGAAAAGGGGGAGGGGGTGGGTGGCCCAGTAGATGAAGGTCAAGGGACAGGCCCAATATGTCCCAATGAATTGGGCTTTGCTTTCTCCCAGGTCCCCCAGCTAGGTGCCCTTTCTCTACCCTTTTTTGGTTGGGAGGGTTCCCCTACTAAAATAGACTACAGAAAAAAGTTGGTACCCTGATTCTAACCTCTCTACTGGAGGACCTAGTTTCCGCCGTTGGCTCTGTACATGAACTTGGGCAGGCCTGACAAGAGGCTTTGCTTCGTGGCGGGGAGACATTTTCGGTTGGCCAGCCTGTTTGTTCCATCGGTTTGTTGTGGTTTTCAGGCTACCCATTCGGGTGGATTCAAAGTGGAACGAGAAGGAAACCAATCATGGGGCTTCTTGTGGTGCGTGGCTTTGTGGTGCTGCTTTCGCTCCCCAACCATCCGGCTTTTAGCAGTTTTTTCTGAGCCCTGGCGGCAAGCCCAGATGTACAGCGTTACAGCTGCTAGGACATCCAGAGCATGAAACACTGGGTTTGCATGGCCGTGCCATGGAACCTGTTTGCGGTTGGCAAATCCATTCTCCTGGAACAGGGGCCCGGTGGGATGGATGTTTGGAGTAAGAACATGCGTCTACACAACTGGCCTCACGACTGAACCGCTTCTTGGAATCCTTTCCGATCGCTGGGGGGGGGTCTTGGGGGTTGAGCCCCCTGAATTGCGAGTGAAGAACCGGGCCGAGAAAATTTCCGCGCACGTTGCGATGCATCAACTTGCACAGACCGCAGCCAGGGGTCCTCACGGCCAGACCCCGCCACATTCCTTGCGGAAATGGCGACATGTGACTCGTGTGCCGTGTCCTTTGACATGTGCTGTGACTCATATATGACATGTGACTAGGTTGGTATTTGAGGTCAGCCACCAAGCCCGAGTGCAGATAGATCCAACGGAAGCCTCGTGGCTAGGCCCGGCTACGGCCAACAACCTGCATGGGATCAGCAGCAGTATGCTGGTCAGCAGCAGTATGCTGGTCAGCAGCAGTATGCTGGTCAGCAGCAGTATGCTGGGCACCTAGCACCGGTCAGCTTCCATTTTCTTAAGGATGTTTGTTTGTTTTGTTTCCCCTGTTGGGCTTTAAAGGGAATCGTAGGGCTTCGCCATCACCAGCTGCGCTGGCCGGTCGGACAGGTGAGATGGGGAGCACTAATAAGAACCCCGTCTTCGAGTCTACTTTCTCCGGCGGGTTGCCGACACATCCCCCCCCCACCCACGCACGCTGCCCGCGAACCCACACACCACGCGCCCACCCAAACACGCGCTCGCTGCGAACCCACACGCGCAAGAGGCTGCAAGGTTGCTTGCCCAACCCCCGTGACACACCCTAGCTTGAGTGTGTGTGCCTGCTTGCGTCCGGCGCGCGTGCGCGCGCACGCCGCACGGGCCCTCACACCGAAAGCCAATCAGACCAAAAAATGCATCCCCGGCAGCCCGTTCCAGCCCCACAGAAACCCGTGGAACAATGAAGAAAGACACGGTATGTGCGATGTTTTCCGCACAGCGGCGGCGGCCGCACTTGCGCAAGAAAAAATCGCTCACTCGATCGCAGACTTGCCGCCATGTCCGCCTACCGCCAAAACCTACTCTCAGGGGGCCATTTTTGAAGGGTTTGAGCGATGCGGGGGATGCAGGGGATGCAAGGGATGCTGGAACGCAGATGCTGGTGATGCACAGTATTTACCATGTTTTTTGAAGGTCGGGCAACGTGGCATCAGAAGCCCGCCGCAAGGCCAGGGAGGCGGGTATGTTTTGGGGTCCAAGTGTTTGGGCCGGCCTGCGTGCAGGTGATGCAAGCAATGCTGAGGAGGAGCTTGGGGTGCAACAAAACACGTCAGCGGTATACCCTACGGGTAGGGTTGCCCTCGCTCTTAGACACACAGCGCAGCTGGATCTCTGTCACTGCTGTATTTGCTTTATTTGTTCCAGGGGCCTGAAGCAGATGGGCTGGAGTTGCTCCTTGCTGTGTCCTTGTTTTTGTCTCTTCTTTTGGCTCAGCACATGTGACATGTTCATCCAGATACGTTGACGATTGGTTTTCACATAAGCCTGAGAGAACACGCACGCGCCCAAATCGAGAAGGGTATGCCACCTTCGCGCCTTCGTCACGTTGGCCAATGTGTTTGCTCACGATATGTGGCAAGCCCCAAATGAGTTTCCTTCCGGTTTTTGCCGCCTTTTGAACTTGGAACTATGTGTGTCACACGTGTCTCCGGATGTTTTCTTGGAGAGGGCCTATAGACGATGTCAGTTCCGGTCACAGAGGCAACCACGCCGACGTTGGGCAAACAGAGGTTGTCGCTTTGCTGTGACGCTGGGGTCTGAGACACCCTGCCGAGGCCCAGCAGTACAATCCCCAGTATGGCGCCCAAAGCTATCAGGGCTATCCGCAGGCGCAGGCAGCGTTGATATCGTCCGTTTCGAGTGTCCGTGCGTTGAGCCTTAACAACCAATCTTCAACAAACACGATTGGCTATATGCGCTGAGTGACTGGTATTACATGTAGGGGTGAATCCCTCTCTTGATCTTCAAGTTGGAGGTGTCGGGTCCCTTTGACTGTCAACCCAAGCGTTTCTTGAGTTTGACGTGGCTGTTGCATTCTCATATATGTCTTGAGTGCAAGCGGAGCGCTTTGAAGTCATAGCTTTATGTCGGTTGCTGGCAAGTAGCCGCCGTTGGCTTGCTTGATGTGTCCAACACTAGTGTTTTCTGAGCCACATTGCTTGCGCTTGGCCTTGGCAAGTACTTGGAGTCTGTTGTATTTGTGTTCCTCTAAAGTATGTGTTGGTGTATGCCGGTTGGTCAGCTGAAACCTTGCGCGTGTTGCTGGATGGTTCTCGTAGTGCTGGCACTTGACAGGCGCCCAACACCCCGTTTTGTCATGTTAGTAGGTCGCTGTTCTTCTTGGTTTCATAGAATGCATAGTAATCTCCCTAGAACCAACACTTGCTGGTGCTCAGGGAATGACCGAGACCAGGTGGGAAGGAACTGGGAGGGGATTCCCTGAAAAGCCTTATCGAACCGATCGCCAGCGTCTAATTTTGTTCGGGCGCAAAAACTGGGCGTCACTTGAGATCAATAGGAGCCCAAGACCCCAAAGATCAGGGCCTTGAACCCCCCACAACATGGTTGTTGCTGGGCAACATTGTACATTTTTTTGATGATTGCGGTTTAGTGGAAAATCCCCACTTAACTGCTAACATTTTCATATTTTTGCTCCCCTTCCAACGTCAACCAAGAAAAGATCAGGGCCTTGAACCCCCCAGGCCTCGAACGAGGTCTTGGGCGTCACTTGGGAATGCCTTGACCTCCAGGTGGAGATGACTGGGACCATGGACGACAAGCAGCGGAAAAAAGAGCAGAAGCTGGCGGAAGCGCGTCTGGGAGCTCAGTGGATGGCTTCGCTGTTGTTTTTTTCCCCCTAGGGTGCTCAGATGGCGTTTCGTGTTTGTTATTATTATAATTATTATTTTTATTTTTATTTTTTTTCTTTCGTAGGTGACCTCCTGCCCTTTTCAGCTTCTCTCCACTTTTTGCTGGTTTGGTGGTTGAGGGGTGGTTTCCCGTGTACCCTCTGCACGAACCGTTCAAGGACCTAAGGAAAGACCTGACGAGCTTGGGCCGGATGTTTTAAAGCACCCTCCCCTCAAAAGGGGAACTCAAAGCTTGGGGTGCCGCCTGGACATTGCTCGTCGAGTTCCTTGACTAGGTCCCCCAGCTAGGTGACCTTTTATTTTCTTCTGGGGGAGGGCTCCCCTACTAAAATAGACTACAGACAACAGGGTTTATTCTATCCTCTCGACTGGAGGACCTAGTTGGACTCTGCCGCCTGGACATCACTCGAGTTCCTTGAGCCATCAAGCTGACAACAGCAATCCTTCCAACGAACAATCGTGGAGCCTCCAGCTGGGCTTGTGTGAAGCGCCTCTGCACCGTCTTCTGATTTATCCGATGCGGTGTAGCATACAATGCTTGCAGCAACTGGCGGCAGATGTTTGATTTGATTCTACCTCAAGTTCGATTGGAGGCCGTATCAGAGTTTCGCTTACCATTCTCTGGGAACATTACGATGATCTCACCTGGGTAGAAAGTTTGCCCAGACAATTTAATACAATGCTACCGCCACTTGCAGAGTTCCGCCACTGCCCATTGACTAATCCTAAATGAGTGACAGTCAAAACCCGGGTAAGTGAAGGTTAGCAAGGGACCATCCCAACCATAAGTAGCTGCCGCCTTCTTAGTTCTTGCAGCATGGTTCTGGGTCGACCATTTGTGCACCGGGCTTTGATTATGGCTCAAATTTGCGCCCCGCGAGTTTCTTCACCTGCACATGGAATTCCAAAAATATTCCGTGTCCAGCAACCCACACTGTCCTGCAAGCTGCCGTTGGCACTTCAAAAAACAAGCCCCTGCGCAGGGACCCGCGTTTGGAGAAAGGCGAGTTTCTGGGAGTATAGATTGATTGTTAGAAGGCAAGTCTCATAAGACATGCATGAAACTCATGGTAGATAGAGTTAAAAAGTGTGCCTTTTGCAACCTGTAGATTGATGGCAGGTTGGAATTGTGTGAGTTCCTGCGCCCAGCGCCCTGCTCAGAAGCGCGGTGCGAGCGGGTGCGCAAGCAGCAGAAGCATCAGCCTCAGCCGGACACAAGGCATGCAATGTTAATTGCAAGGGGTCGATGTCGGTAATAATCTGAGAAAGTGACATTAGGGCCAGTGTTTGTTTTTTCATGTTGGTTTGGGGAGGACATTAGTCTCCCGCCCAAACTTCCCACAAAACCCCCAGGGTTACACCACACCGCACCATTTTTTCCATATCTTCTTGGGAAGATTCCGGTATCGTCTTGGGGAAGCAAATTAAGTGACTTTATTTTGTCGTGTTTGCGACATTTTTGTGGATATACTATAGCTGTATCTAGTCATGTTTATACAGTTGGGGGTCTTTTTTGGAGGGCACCCGCTTCATTTTTTGGTGGTTTGGAGAGAAAACCCAAAGGAAAGCCACCATTTTGGTGGGTCCCTCGGGTCACATAGTCGCCGCGACACCCGAGCGGTGCACGGTTGGGAGAGCTGTTTCTACCAGCTAGATGGTCACCCGTGCATTGTAGTTGGAAGACTGCGAAAAATGGAGTTGAAAGGGTTTGCAGCTTTAGTTGCAGGTTGCCCACGCTCTTCAGTGATGTGAGGGGTGCTTGCAAGCCCTTGTGCGGCTTGTGTTGATTAATATAGCAATCACACACGTTGTTTCGTAGTTGGACGCCTGAGCCTTGGAAATCAAACCTTACCTTCAAATCAATCTGTACCAGTTGTTGCAAGCGTACCTGGCGATGGGCTCACTCAAGGCGAGGTTTAAAAAAAAGAGCTTATGATGAGGGTCCTTCGTTTCAACATGGTGCATTGCCATCGAGTTGTACTACCTGGTGCACATCGATTGTTGCTTGCGGGTGCGTCCAACAATTTCAGTGCTTTTGGCAGAAGCAGGCAGTCGCTGGAGTTTGTCGATTGTCAGGGTGCGCTTGAAAGGCACCCAGCTTTGCACACCAGGTGAAAGACCAATGACAGTGCTAAGTAGAGTTATTGGCCTTGAGACATTGCAACAGCACCCAAAAGGTAGTTCATGGGGGGGGGCCTGACCATATATATGTATATATATATTATATATGTATATATATATATATATATATATTATACCTGTGGATCACGTGTTTGGGCAAATCGTTGTTGTGAATGATTCAATGAGCTGCGCCCTACGCTAAGCTCGAGTAAAGGGTTCTCTTGCATGATGCCATTCGGATCATTTTGAGTCATTAAGGGCCCAGTCTGTGCAGGGTTGTCAAGTTTCTGGTTCCTTCTGTATCCCCAGTGAAAACGCGGTCCAAAAAGGGGCCCCCGGAAGACAGGTTGGCTTAGGCAAAAGCTGAGGGCTGCCCGAAGGGATCCAAGTCTAAAACGAGGAACATGTCGCAACCACGATCTGCAATGCAATACTTGGTGGTTCCCAGCCATCCGCTTCCGTTTTTAGCTCTTTGGTGTTTAGTGGAGATGTCCGTTTGACACAACAACGGTTCAACTTGTAGCGGGGTCTGAGGACAGCCCAGATTAAATGCCTCAGGAGATCGTTTCAAAGACAACAAGCCAGGGGGATTTGTTTGAAGGCGAGAACCCCTTCGTTCTTGGAGGATCCAGGACAAGAAGGACTCGCAAAACCTGTTGATCCTAATGGCCTTCAGCACCATTGGCCTTGGCTCCCTCTTGGCCTGGGCCTCGGTTTTTTTTCTTCTTTTTCTTTCACGTCTCTCGGGTTACGCGCTCTCGAAACCCAGGTCTTGTTGGGTCTCGACGAAAAACCGTCGCCCAAGAAGGGTCCACAAATCTCTCTCACAGGGCAACTGGAAACATTTGCGGCGACTGATGGCCAGGATTTTCTTGGTGGGCAGAAGTGACTCAATGTAAATCGCTTGCTCCCAAAACCAACATATTACGGCCATGTGTTGAATCCACCTTGTGGTTGTCGGTTTTGATTTGCAGAGATGGTCATCGCGTTGGCTTGGGTTCGTTCTCTGGTCACAACCCGGAGCTTGGCCTCTCACCCGGGGGGGGGGGGGCAGGTGACCCCCCAGCTTTTTTCTTGGTTGCCATTCAAACCACCCCCAAAAAAGGGTGCCATCAAACAAAAGACACAGCCATGGTGACCTTCTGCAATCCACATTTGGCTCAAGCCTTACACACACTACGTGCAAAAGGACTTTTTCTACTCGCTGGTATCGTTCTTTTCGGTCAGTTTGGCTGAAGATAGGCGGATTCCACCTGTTTCATGGTAGATATTTGCGGAAGAGCCATCTCTCAGGGGCCATCTCTCAGCTGCCTCCTGGGGTTTGAGCTCCTGTTGGTTGCCAACTCTCGCCTTGGTGAACGGAATCATGCCGGAAGACCCCACAAAGAGCACCATCAACCAAGAAACACCGTATGCAGATGAGTTCAACAAGGAACCTTTGTCTTCTCCAAAAGCACGGTGTTTGATACACAACAGCCGATATATTATATATGGTCTTTCTATCGAAGAAGTCCCTTCCATGTTTTGGCGTCAAAGACCACCGGGGTTTTAAAGAAATACGGGGGCCCCCGAAACGGGTTCCAGCGGTTTTTTTCCTCCGAGGCCAAAGCAAACACCCATGGAGTCTCCGGATCTGAGCCTTTGGAACTGATTCCATGACCAACCATGATTTTGGGTAATGACCCATGTTGATTCGGGTCAGATCCGGAGACTCCAGGGACTTCCCAGATGGGACACAAAAGAATGGGGCGATGAGCCTGTATTTTTGGTAGCCGCCATGTTTTAAAGAACCCCAGCCACCCGCCAAACCATCCCAAACCGAGCGGACCCTTCGCTGAGGGCATGACCATCGTGGGGCCATCCTGGGGTACGGAAACCGAGCGGCGCTTTTGGGATGCCTCAGAGGTGAAAAAAAACATGTCGGGTTTGGTGTGTGTTGCTTGTGTTTTTTTTTTTTCGTTTGATACGACAGGCACTGTTTGTTTTCGGTCTTTTCAACTGGACTTAGTTTGTTTAGATTTCTTTGTGGTGGGTTTAGGTCTTTGTTTTCTTCTAAGGTTTGTGGGGGGGTTCATAGGTGGGAATACCTTTTGGGGAGGGGGGGGGGTAATTTGAAAGGTCTTCTTCGAAGGGTACCGTTTTTTGAGTGTGTTTTGCATGATGGCGTCCATCAACTGCCAACACATGTTGACGTCAACCGGACTATCGGGGTTGGACAGAGCGGGCCCTTGTCCAGTCATGGAAGTGGAGGGGACTTTGCAAGAGAGTACCCTCTTTTCAACAAGCATGGAAGTGGACCGGGGCCTCCCCCAAAAGCAAAGCTGCCAAAACCCTCTTGTCAGCTTCCATGATTGTTGGAGGGAGGGTAGTCCTCAAACACCCTCCTGTCCATTGGAAAGACGGTAACTTTGGGCTTCTAAGGCATAGGGGATCCGCAAAGAGGGGGTTCCCGAGATCAGGCGACAAAGCTCGCAAGACTTCAGCTTACTGCTGAGTGCATTCAAGTTGCTGCTTGCCTGCGACAAATGGTTGCTTGAGTCATGTGTTACTCCTTTGGACTTAGCAGGGGTTGTGCGGTGCAACAAGAAATGAATGAGGCCCTGAAAAGCTGACTTGTTGCTGGGACTGACCTTTTTCTTGATCCGCGGATGGTTTTTGGGTAGCTTATCATGCCCTTTTACCCCTTTGGGGGAGGGTTCCCCTAAAACAGACTACAGAAAAAAGTTGGTCGCCTTATTCTAACCTCTCTACTGGAGAACCGAGTAGTAAGAAACTGTTGTCGATCCTTTGCGAAGGACACCCCACCTGTTGCATGTTTGAGGGTTTGGCCTGGTTTTGGTATGCGGCTCATCGCGCCCGTCCCCAGCAGGCAACAACTGTGGGCCGGATTTCCTATGTTGCGACTGTTGAGGAGGTCATTGTGGTTCGCACCGATTTGCTTTCTTTGTGTGCACCTGGACCCTCAAAGTAGCCACAATAAAGGGAATTCGCCCCCTAATTTTCGGTCAAACACCTTGTTTTTAAGGGAATTGAGAGGGTTTCGGCAGATTGCATGCATCAATCACGCGGCAGATCCAATCATCCCTTGTCTCCTGGACTCCAATGCAAGAAGACTACAGCGGCTTGTCAGCGTTGCATTGCGGTCCTGTCAGCAGCCCATGAGACGGCTGAGAACCTCCTCAAACGGCCAAAATTGACAATACTTCGTACATAGCAACATGGGACAAAACACACTTCGCTCATGGCAGCTCAAATGCGCGTTGAATACGTAAGCAGAGCGACCAAACCAGTTACCACCCCCTTCCCCCTGCAACTGGAAACAGTTTCAGTTTAGTGCACTTTTACACCAGCTTGCAGCCAAAAGGCACCCGCCCACTGCTCCCATTTGCTTTTTTTTCATTCTTTTGTTGGCCCTAAGGGGAAACCTATTCCCCTGTTGGTTTTAAGGGGAACAGTACTACATGGGTGTGGCTTGAAACTGGGTACCCCAAATGGAAGCCTAGTAAATGGAAACAAGGACATTTCAACCTGCGGTCCAATTCCTGGTTTAATTCTGACCCGTACCCAAGTGGCTCTAATGTCAACCCCCAACAAATCTGGTTCAAGATGCTTGCTGGTGCTCAGGAAAAGGGAATGAAGTGAGTTTGAACGGAAACCAGGGATGGTTTAGGGTCATGCCATTTCTCATTCGCTGCTGAGCACCAGCAAGTGTAACTCAAACCCCTCTGGAAAGGGACTCCCCAAAAGACGTCGGTGCTCAGTGGACTTCAGCAAGTCGGTGATGGCTGGCCCTGGGTGGCTCCGAGGCTCTAAGGAGTTCACCGGGCTCGGCGGAGCCCTCAGCGCAAGGTAGAGAGATCCCCGTCCGACCGGTTTCTTGGGGTGTAAATTGTGGGTTCCCCGTTTGTGTTTCTTATTTTTCCCATTTTTTCCAGGAACATATGGATTTGTCTTTTGATTTTTTGGGGGGACCCATTTTTTTCTGGTTGTAAAGAAAAAGATGACCGCTTTTTTGGGGGAACCCCCTTTTTGTTCTATTAAGGGCAAACCAAAAGGAATAACACGCAATGTTGGTGTCCCTCAAAGAAGACACACCCATATATATGGGAACCCTGTAACGAAGATGCGGACATTCACCGAAGGCAGATCATTGTTAGCTGGTTCAGTTTGAAGGCGCGTATGTTAAATGCCGCCAAAGCAGATGTCCGATCACCTGACTTGACTGTCCTTGAATTCGCCGACTTCGGAGAACATGGTGCCTTATGTCGCCGCTTGGATTCACTGAGCAGTCCTATTCAACAAAGTATTCAACAATTCCGCAAGGGATTCACGCGAATGTTTGCACGCTATTGTACTTGTATGCTCGGTGCCTCACTTTGTGCCCATGCCACAACTCTTTACCTTGGCTCTCGGATCATCCAGCAAGTAGCCAGTTACTTTGCATCCCAATTGCATTCACACCGTTGTTACAAGGTACCCAGGAGTAATCAGTGGTTGACTAATATGAGGGTTTCCATGTACCAAGGACTCCCTAACTTTCGGTGAGGGGGAAACCACTCCCCACATAGCCAACCAAGTTGATCCGTTGCAGACCATCAGCAGGTCCCGCTACGTGAAGAGGGCTGCCTGGGCTCCAAACATTTGCAACTATACGTGTCCATTTTTAGTCGGTGTTGTTGACCATAGGTGACACTGATCTAAGGTTGGCTCCATTTACCAGTGTCTAGGCCTAGGACACTTGATCCAGAGGACACTTAGGTTTGCAACCCCTCATGGCAAAGACTCCTGTGTGCGAAGCAAGATTCTTGAGTCCTGAAGCACGACTGGCAAGCTGCAACAACTGATGTTGCATTTTGCCACTTTCGCTCAGGAGTGGCATACCTCAAGAGCACCATACCTCCTATGATTGTCAAGGGCGCTAATAGGGTTCCTTTCCGGGGGGGGGGGCGTCCTTTTGTTGGGGGGGGTCCCCTCTTTGGGGCTGGCCGCCAGACACACCATAGGAATACCAATAGCTTTCAGATCTGCCCCGGCCGCTGCATCCCACTCCCAGGTGTTGGCATGGTGTACATGCGAACCTCCCTCTTCAAGCTGGATGCGCAGACCTCAGCCTGCGAGTTGCCACGATGGGTGCTTCCCGCAATCTGGGCTTGCACCGGAAACAAAAGCAAAGCGCGCATTGAATTCACATCCATGTTCACATCTTAGCCTGGCCAGGGTTCATGTACTGGGGCCTACCGTGACTTCAATGAGCAGACACCTGTGGTGTGATGTTGCATTTTCCGGCATGAGACACTCTGTACCTCCTGTGGCCGTAGGGGTTTGTATGTGCGTCTGTGTCTGTGTGGGTCTTTGTTTTTGGGGGCATGAGCTTTTGACGCTAGTTTGCATGTCGATCAGTTCTGATTAGATTTGTGCTTGGCATTTGGCCGCTTGCACAGAGGGATACTACCCCGAGGCATGACTGAACTGCAGAGAGCAGCTTTCTGTTACAGTATACATGCATCTATTGCACAATTCTATCAGACTGCTGCAAATCCTGGCCTGTTTCATGGACAAACTCCTTTGCTCCGCTCGAGTAAGACTTTTCAGCGCATTTGGACCCGCATGCACCAGCCTTGTCCCCGAATGTGCGGACTTGGTAGATAGAGGCTTCATGGGTGGGCCAGCTTCTGCACGGGCCCCCCTCCCAGTTGGAGTTTGTTAGATGGCACACGTCTGCTGAATGGCGCGCTGTGGATACTGCCACACCCGCGGGAGAATTTAGGTCGGGTATGAGTCGTGCAGTGGGAAGTGAGAGGTTGTCAGGGATGAGTGTGGGATTAGGCATCTCTTCCGCCACTACTGGGAGCCCGGCATTTCTTCACCAAACAAGTATGGCTCGACAGCTGATCCGCAATTCCGGTCTGTGTTTTTTTGAGTTGGTAATTACCCATTGGGGCGGTGTTTTATCGGAAATCAAGGGAGACCTGACATCCATTTTGGGGAGTCACCTGTTTCAACACATATCCACTGCCACTGCTAGTTTTGGCATTCAGCATTTGGGCCCTTGGGCACCAAACGACAACGTGCTTCGTGTGTTTGGTCGAAGCTTTTGTCGTTTGGATGTTCTTCCGATCCGGCTGGAACTGGACACTCGTGCTTTTGTGTGTTTGACAACTTTGTTTGGTTTTTCCGAGTTGGCAAAGGTGGCTCGAGTCTTCTTGACTCTTAAAAAATGAGGTCAAACTACAAAAATCAACAACGGGGGCATGGACCCATGTTTAAAGGGTCAAGGAGACTCCAGGCAGCTGGATTTGGCTTTGGCTTTCCCAATTGAACGGAAAGTCGGAAGTGCCGCCTCATGCTCAGCTCCACATCTCCTGTGACAAGTCTCTGATCTTGGAGCAGAAAGCCTGCGAGGTCGGGTGGCACGATGTTGTTTCGCAGCTGCTCAACCTGGGTGCGGTGGGCAGAACAACAGGATGGCTATTTCAATGTTTCCAACAAAGATGGAAAGAGGTTAGCTGACTTCTACCCATGATTACAACCTACTTACCAAGTAGGTGTCCTGTTGCAGGCACTGCTTCCAGTTTGCTTCCAAAAACTACACCCAGGGTCCCAAGTGGCGTTGCAAAGGTGAGTAGGGGTTGGTGCCTATGCTCGTCTGCCAATTTAAACTCCAGTTCTGTGTGAGTTTCCTCAGCAATGTGGTAGGGACTGAGCCCAACGCTGAGTCTTGAGGTCTCCATAATGGAACCACACCCGCAACCCTTGTATCAATTGCAGGCAGAGACTTTCTTCAGCGAACATGCGCAAATCGGAGAGCTTGCAGGGAATACTGAGCTTGCCATGTGTGAAACATGTTGCAAGCTTGGAGGGTATGAGATGGAAATTTTAATATACATATATGTTATGCGCTGACCAATTGATTTGTTAATGGCTGGTGCGGTGTGGCGCCGCAGAGGCTGTTGGGAACCTACCTGACCATTTCAGATTTGCTTTCTGCTTCTGTTATTGCCACTGAATCAGTGGCAAAGTGTGCAGCTGTTTTGTAGCGAGCAGTTTGGTCTGCCTTTGCTACCCCTTTTAGAGCTTCCTGGAGTCTCCATGACCCTTAAAACATAGGGTCATTACCCAAAAGCATGGGGGCCATTTTTGCAAGGGTCAGATCCGGAGACTCCAGGTTGGTCAAAGGGAAACCGAGAGGACGCGAACTTTCAGGTGTCCAAGTCCCTTGTTTCTGCGAGCCCCGCGGTGCCCGATGTCCAGAAACTTGTGGCGAAGCACTTCGAGGGGGAGTTCGACCTGCACGCGGCACAGGCATGCGGTCGAACCTGGCCGGTCTGGCTGTGACGCAGTTTCTGCGCGTTTGTGCTCGCTTTTTGGACGAGTTGTTGGCACGGACTTGTTTTTGGCCAAGCCCCAAAAACAGGGGGTGAAGCATCACCTGACTTGATTTTGGCCAAGCCACTAGGAAGGGGGGTGCGCATCATCTCACCAAATGGCGATTCACAACTGGAATCCTGTGGTGCAAGCTGCTCCAATTGGATGATTCCAACAGCACCTGCATAGTCCGCTCGTTTGAGCCTGGATGCCTGTTGAGAACATCCATGTTCTTGCGCGTCTTGGCACATTTGACCATGGCCATGGCTTGGACATCGTGTCTTGCAGGGTGATGTTAATGTTTGGCATGTGTTGTTGGATGATTTAACCGGATCCTCGCATGAAGCTGTGCCCAAATTGCAGTGAGTCATTGTGCAACTTTCTTTGCGGTAAACATCCTGAACCAGAGCTAATGCATGACTTGAAGCAAGCTGACCGCATGGATTTGAAGACAGCAACTAGGCCTGTAGAATCAGCTTGGGATTGCGCTCCTATCCATCCTGTGCAGGTTTGTTGCTCAGTGGCAAAGGGCGCTCAACTGATTGGACACTCAACTTGTATACTGTCAGTCCATTGCGCTAACACATCGTGACTCATAATATTGAATGTTACATGATGCCGCCTCAAGATCAGAGTTTGACGTACACACGCTGCGTGCCTGCGTGCCTGCGTGCGCTGGTGTTTGTGTGTTTGTGTGTGTGTGTTCTGTGTGTGTGTGTGTTGTGTGCGTGTGTGTGTGTGAGACATGTTGATAGACTTGAATCTGGGATGAAGAGAGTGCAAGTGGCATGGGAGCGACGCATGGCCCCAGGGGTTTTCCGCCAAGCCCAGTGCATGCATCCGATGGCGCGGGCTGAATGTAATTTCGGGCGCCAGGGCAACGCGTGCTCTTTGAACCCCTCAGCCTGCGATGTGCTCTCGCGCACCTACTTGGCAAGGTGGGGGCAAGTTTGGAGTTGCGCAGCCTTGATAAAGAACCCAAACGCACTTCAAAATGAAGCTGACCAGGGACCGTGTCCGTTGATTAATTGGTATGGTTAGACCCCTCCTGTTTGTAGCTTTTCACCTCGCTCTTTCGGCAGACCAATCATTGCGCGGCTCAGAACAGTGGGGCTTAGATTGTCTGCAGGCCATTTTGTTTGCTGAAATACGCAACACGCAATTTGATCTTTGGACAGCACAACGGCCTTACTACGACACAGACATCTTTGGTTGGTCGTGCCTCAGCCCACCTCAGCTTGTGGCATGTCTCTTGATACCATGGGCGGTCACAGCACCTTGCAGCAAGCCTGGCTAACTGAGATCAGAATTCCCGTGCCTTCCACCTGATAAACGTACCGTGGAAGGCAAAGTTTGCAAAAACGAATCACCCACTGCATGCTTTGTTCTAGCTAGCTTTCTTAGCAGGAGACGGGTGACTCCAAGCACTTTCGCAAGTTGCGCCAAGGTCGTTCCATTGAGATGGCCGACTTTCAATAGAAAACCACCTCAAACGTCCTTGGTGGATATGAATCCCGACCTACATGATGTCCACCAAAGTTTCCCACATTCAAATTTACACCCAGTGCCTGGATTTTCTTTTGGGCGGCGCCTGATTTGCTCCTTGCACCCCCCTGAAGATTGACCCAGTGACAGCTGGGTCTTAGTCAATCCTCGCTGGCCTCTAGGCTCCAAGAGGGTTCCAAATGGGGATAGATACATTGGAGAGGGGGACCCCCTCAGCGTGTTCTGATACATTAAGCCCAATGTACGCAAAATACGGAGCATGTTACATTGATACCTCCAAGCTCTCCTTGCCAGGGGGATCTTGCGCAACCTTTCACAAGACCGATCCAAATGGAACCAAGTCTTCCAAAGAAAATCTGGGAGCTTCCATGGAATCGTCTGGAGGCTACTTTGTCTGTTTTCCCAAAGATCTTGCGCAGCATCCCCCTCTGGCCCCTCTTTGCGGGTCTCCGTGCTTCTTTTTGTTTCTCCGGCCGGGGTTCGCGGGCCCGGGCTCCTGGGCTTCTTCCCTCGGCCTCATCCGCGCGCGCGCGTCCCGCGGAGCCGAAGCGGCCGCGGTCGCAGCTTCCCCTTGTTCCTGGCCATCGGCCTGGCGGTGCTCTCCAGCTTCGCGGGCGCCTTCTGCCTGCCCGGGCCCCGACAACCCTCGGACGGGCCCTCGCACGGGGGGGGGGGCCCTCGGACGGGCGCGGAAGCCGAAGCCGAAGCCGAAGCCGGGTGCAACATGGGCATGTGATCGAGACCTGGGCTCTTGTTTTTGTTTGTTTTTGTTGGCGATTTGGGAGTTGGTGCCCTTGGCAGGTTGGTTTCAAAGAAATTGGAGCAAAGAACGGAGTCCCCTTTGATACTGGGGTGGTGTCCCTCAATGAATTCCCTTCACATACCCAGAGAATGGACCCCGGACAAGTCACTTGTCCCATCTGGCAAATAGCATTGTTTAGCGGTTTTCCTCACCGACGTCCCATGTCTTACCGCGACTGGCTTGGATCTGAATCTAACCTTGCTTTTTGATTGAAATCAAGGGGTTTTCCCTGAAGCCCGCCGGTTATACGGGGGGCCAGCTTAGCCACCAAGACTAGGTCCCCCGGTTAGGTGCCCTTTTACCGATTCTTTTTTGGGGGAGGGTTCCCCTACTAAAATAGACTGCAGAAAAAGGTTGGTACCCTTATTCTAACCTTTCAAATCTGGAGGACCTCGACAAGTTCAACTTCTTGCGGGGGGGTCGTTGCAGCCACCCAGATGTGGGCTGGAGTAGACTTATATAGGACACATTTTACATGCTACCAGTGACTCAAAGTGAAGCAAACAATGAAATATACATTCTATAACTGGGCAACCAAGACAGGTTCCACTTTTGACTACTCAAGTATAGACTTAAACCCAGGGGTGGTTCATTCCCCCAAAAAGAGAATCCCTGGGTTTAAGTCTATCTTGGGCTAGTCAAAAAGTGGAGCCCTGGGTAACCAAGATGTCAAGGGCCTTTGGATCACCCACTTGAGCGATCGATGTCTGAGGTTCACCTACTCGAAGGCTGAGGCGGACCCGGCGCTACGCAGCTGGTCCGTGGTCTTCATTCTGGCCACCCCGGCCATAGCGCCCCTCGGCGGTTCGGAAGGGATGGAGTCCATTGTTTCACGGGGGCTGAGGGGGAGGGAGGGGAGGGAGGTGAGGGGGAGGGCGGATTCCATTTGCTGAAAAACCTGTTTCATAGGGGGAGGGAGGGGAGGGAGGGGAGGGGGAGGGAGCCCAAATAAGCCCAACTAGCTCCTGCTACTACTGGTGTGCCCCCTTGTTGGTTTGACAGGGTTTCGATTTCACCGCTATTTGCTGAAATGAAGATGTGTTTGATTTTGCGTGGTTGGTGTTAGAAGGGAATCGATTTCACCCCTGGTGTTTTTGTTCTTCTTCTTTTTTGTTTTTGTTTTTTCCTAGGCGGCCGAAGCAAATGGAAGGATGCTTCTTTGGGTCCGGACCCTCTGGACATTTTGGAGTCCTCAAAGTCGAAACTGGAGTTGGCGGTGTCCCTTTAAGAGGGGGTGTGTTTGTGATAGTGGTGAAATAATGGGGGCCAGTTTCGGTGGAACTTGACCAAACATTTGGGAAGGTATTGCTCATGGTCCGTAGCCGTAAGTTTCAAAGTTTGAACATGTTTAAGGCTCAGAAGGAGGAACTCTGCTGGGGAAACAACTAACACGAAGAGAATAGGTAACAACTAACACGAAGAGAATAGGGGACAGCTAGGCTAAACTGTCGCCTGTGGAGCGGCAAAAAGGTGGAACAAACGGCCAGATGTGTGAAACCCACCCAAAGGCAAGCATGGGCCGCAAGGATTCCTTTCACAGGTGGGTTGACTGGAGCCCTCATTTTGGCATAAAAGCACCCAACACAAAACGGTTCTATTTCATTCACACCCTGTCAGCACCCTTTTCGGGGTGGGTTCTATTTCATTTAGACCCTGTCAGCGCCCTTCTCCGGGGTGTTTTCTTGTGTGTGTGTGTGTGTTTTTTTTGTATTTTTTCTCAGGGAGCCAAAAGGACGCCACCCATTTCGGATCTCCGGCCACTTTCTTCCCACGCCGTAGGACAGGCGGCATCGTGGCCTGGGCGATCCTGATGCCGGACCTGGGGGAGATCCCCACAGCCGCGGCCCATGGTTGTCGCTGAGCATTTTTCATGTGCCATGGACAGCCATGCCCGGCTGTTGGGGAACATTGGGGAACCAATGGTTGTGGTTGTTGGGGAACAGTTTACATGTTTGCTTATTGTGGCTTTAGTGGGAAGGTTGGGACAGGTTTTTGCTTGTTGTGGTTTAGTTTATTGTGGTTTTAGTGTGATTGTCGCTGAATATTTGTCAGTTGCCATGGACAACCATGTCCATGGATCATGCCCGGCTGTTGGGGAATGGTTGTGGTTGTTGGGGACATTTTGCTTATTGTGCTTTAGTGGTTGAAATCCAAATCCACTGAACTGCTAAAATTTGAAAATCTGTGCACCCCTTCCAACGTCAACCAAGCGGAGGAGACCACAATTTTAGGTAGCCCCCTCACTGGTGGTTTGGTTTGGTTTGGACGTAGGGGCCAGCCAAAGCGATTTAAAGGGAACTGGGGTTCGGGCTACCTTCAACTACCTTTCCATTTTCACTCTGAAAGGAACTGGGCTTCAAATCCCAAGCAGCGATTGGTGCGATAGGCAGGGAATGAGAAATGGAATGACTCTTATAAACCAACCCACTGGTGGAAACCAACCCACTGGTGGATTTGAACGGGCACTTGGTTCTTGTAGAGGGTAAATGGGAAACCACTGCTCAACCACCAAGCCACCAGGATCCAAACCACCAACTGGAGGGAAGCTGGAAATTGAGCCTGAATCTTCCTCTTGATTTCCTTGTGAAAACACCGAGAAAGCGGTACCCTCAAGAAGCACTGACGCCCATTTGAGGTAAACCCATGTACTGGCGGCCGGTCACACAAAGTTACCTTTACCAGCTCATGTAGTGGTTCCCCTTGCAAAGCAAGTTTTTGGATGTATTCTTCAAGGAACCCTGTCCAATCACGGAAGGTGACAAGACAGCGAGCTGTGGCAAGTCTGCTTTCTTTCGTGCAGCCTCCAGCTTGTGTTAAAGCGGGAGAGCCTGTTTGCTTTTGACTTTGAAGCATATCCTGTCGTTCCCTGATGTCGACAGCTAAGGGTCTTTCATTTGCAGGATAACATTTCATGTATACACATGTCCAGTCTTTTCAGAGCAATGGCTCGGTTTTTGTTTTTTTGTTCTCCGTCTTGTTCGTTTGTAGACTTATCTTTGCACATGATATCCACGGTCAGAATTGTCCCAGTCTATGTTTGGCTCAATAGGTGCCGTCATCACTTTGAACCCAAAGGGACTGACTTCTTGTTTGCGTCCCCAAACAGTAGTTAAGCCCGGTTGGGTGAAAAGCGCCGAGTGGATTCTGCGGCTCACTCCTGGAGTGGGGCTCAGAAAGATTGAGACCATGGCGAAGAGTTTGGTTCCTTTTGGCCAATCCCGTACCTTTACACCATTAAATCCCCTCCGTGTGCTTCAGTTGTTCTCGTTTTAGACATGCCCCCTCTTTGTTTTAAATGGAATCTATCATAGACCAAAAAGGGGGCTAAAATCTGCGAATGAAGGCCCGGCCTGGATTTTCGTGAGAACACCTGAACACCCAACAGTTTCGGGAGCTAGGGACGCCTCTTCAAGGTTTCATGACAGTTTCAAGATGGGCCGCAGGCAAAGAATGATGTCTGGAGTCTCCTTCTGCCCCTTTTTTTAATGGGTCCATGACCAACCATTACTTTGGGTAATGACCAACCATTTTTGATTCGGGGCAGATCCGGAGACTCCAGGTCCAAAAATGGTTGGTGAGAAATTTCGGATTTTTGGGTTGAGCCCACTTTCCAGGGTTCAGAAGGAGACTCCAAGTTGTTTGGTGATGCCAAACCCGCTCAGTCTTGGACGATGCTGGCGGGGGTCGTCGGGGGGTCGTCGGGGAGTTGGGGTTCCGGTGGGCAAGGTAGAGGGTGGGATCAAGGGGTGTATCCCCACATACAAGGGAATGCCCCTTTATATTATGGGTGTGGTTCTCAAAATTAAACAGGAGGGGCAAACCGCAGATTCTGGTCCATGTGTTCCACTTCCCAGGACAAACCCATTTTGGAATTCCCGGTTTTTTGAGAGCCATATGAACAACTTGGTCTTTTGGGAATCCGGGAAGCCCTTTCTGTTGTATCAGTGGTCACTCCATTCCATTCACATCCGGTTCCTGCGGTGTGTCTCTGAGCTTTTTTTTTCCTCGCGTTGAGTGGTCGGAGGTCCATGTCCATTCAGAAATTCCACCCGCTCAAGAAGGAAGTTTCACTTTCTGGCCGGAGATCTGAAGACAGCCCACAGTACCTTGAGCTAACTCTCTCATTGGTGGTGGTCCCTGATTTGTGGGTCATGTTTCAAGAAACTCCTTCGGAGACTCCCCTCGTGCCAAAAAAAATGAAGCCCCAATCAGCTTCGAGAATCCACGAAACTTCCAGGACGAGAGCAGGTCGCGGTTTCTACAAAGCGGGGAGGGACCACAGGTGTCCTGTGTGGTTGAAGCGCCGGTTTTGCTTTTCATTTTTTTTCATTTTTTTTTCAAGCGTCGGTTGTGTTTTTCCCTCCGGCGCCGATTTTCATCTGGCGGGGCATCTGCCAGGAATTGTCCGAAGGGAGGTCTAGGAGGAGGACACCCACAAGGGGGTCCTTTGCTTTTGGCTTCCTGAACGAAGACAACGAAAGTGCGCCTCAAACCAAAAAGCAGCCAAGACAGCCCCACATGGCTGCGTTGTTTGTCCAATCCTGGATGGAACCCGGATTCAAGATGATTCGGGGGGTGACATATTTGGTGTCAAGCTGAGTCACAATGCTTCCGAAGGACGTTACTTTCCTGTTGCTTCCTAAGGACTCGTCCATTTCCCGTAGCGCGGATCTCCAACGGCTTGAAGTCAGCAAAGGGCTTGTCCCAGCTTTGCGACTGCGACTGCTTGCCAGAGTCCCTCTTCAATGAATCGATTGAAGCTATGAACCCAAACAATTGAACAATCAACTTGAGGCTAACCCCATTTTCAACTTTCCGCACAAACCCAAACCCCTCCATAGCAAACCGACTGGGACAGGGCTTCAGGCTCAGGTGGTTGCTCAACAAGGCCTCCAGGAGGGCTGGATATGACTTTGAGTTTGCGGTACAGTTGTGCAGGGCTCCTTAAAAGATGCACTTTGCAACCATTTGGGTGTGGATGGGGTCACGCAGGTGTTGGTCCATGTTTCCACTTACCAGGGTTCCATTTTGGTACTGGTTTTTTGAGCCACAGCCATTTGAAACATGTTGCTTTTTCCACCAAAATAAAGGGAAACCACCACTTACAAGGCAATGTTCAGGTGCATACTGTGAGGATCCCTGTTGCGCTATGCCCGCTTCCTCCCAGACCTACCTGGAGTCTAGATGATCCCAAAAAAAACATGGTTCCATGACCCCGTAATTTGGGGAAATGACCCGATTTTTAAAGGGTCATGGAGACTCCAGGTACATGATGGGCTTGTCAACTCACGTTTTGAAGCCAGCGTGGATGTCCAATATCAGCTTCCAGTAAGCCCCTTACACGTTTAAGAACCCGTAACTTGGTGGTTCCCAGCCATCCCCTCAGGCTTCTTATAGGCTGTCGAGCGGTGAGATGTCCGGAAAAAAAAGAAAACAACGCATTTCACCCACACGTGTCCATCAGGTTTATGGCTTCGAGCATCCATGCTACTACCTGGAGTCTCCATGAGCCTCAAAAAATGGGGTCATTACCCAAAATAGTGGGGTCATGGACCCATTTTTAACGGGTCATGGAGACTCCAGGTAGACTTGGATCTCCGCCACGCCCACGACTGGTTTCGCGGATCGCAGGGCAGACCCATGCGACCCATGCGCAGGTCGGAAGCCTGGCGCCTGGCCTCACGTGCGGGGACCCGGGGTCCGTTCGCTCGGTGGGGAACGCCCAACGGAGAGTTCAGCCTGATGCCCCAGAAGAAAACCATCCGAAAAGGGGAGGCAAACAAATATAATATATACACAGTTGTGTTGGTGCTCCTTGCTGGCTTGCTTCCTTGCTTGCGTTGCTTTGCTTTGCTTTGCTTTGCTTTGCTTTGCTTTGCTTTGCTTGCTTGAGTCTTGACACCGGACCTCCCTCACCCTACAATCCACCCGCAAACGTAGCCCAGTGCGTGGATTTCTGAGGGGCGGAGGATGTCTTTTGAGCGCACAAGCAACGGGACAATCCATGGTTCATCAATGCTCCTGATGCTGGCGGATACCGCACGGGCGATGTGTATCTTTATGATGGGGCCTTGCTTGAGGTGTTTCCGGTGAAATTTGGGCCAAACATGGTGTGCGACCTGCTCATAGACACAAACCACGGAGTTTCCGGAGACTGCTTTTTGAGGAGTCTCCTGGGAAAAGCCAGGAGAACTCATTCTCCTGGATTCGTGGCCGTCGCTCCTGAAAGTAATGTTATGCTCCTTGAATTGATGTTGTGCTTCTGTTTTTTTTTGTTTAATCAATTCCTGATACCCCAACCTTCGGCTTATTTGGTGGAAGACACATGCAGGTAGCCCCGTAGGGATGAAATGGCACCATCACAGAACAAAACCTCCTTGGTGGAGCTTCTGCATCTCAAGAGGGTGATTGCAGTCGTAGCCATTTTTGTTTTATCAATTCCTGATGCCCATCGAACGTTGGCTTATTTGGTGGAAGACACATGCTCACGGAAGCAACATATTGCCAAACAAAACACGTCTGCGCACCTTTAGACGTAGGGAATGCTCAGATGGCGCTGGGATCCTAGAGGCAGTTAGAGCCGAACCACGCAGGAAAATCGCGGTCTGAAATTTATAGCGCCTTGAAGTAAGGTTTCCATCTTTTTTCTTGGTATACGTGGGGAGTTCTGGTTTTGCTTATTTGCACCGCTTTGATTTAGCCGGAGCTTGGGCTCCGAAAGTCCAATCTGATCCGTGTTTGTTGCTGTTTCATCATGGCTGCTGTGTGGCCCGCGCAATTGCTGGTGCTGGAGCCCAAAAAAAAACTGGAACGTTTCTGCCTTTCCCAGAAGAGCGCTGAGACACACGGATGGCTTTCACTAAAACATGTCCGGTTTTTGGGGGGTCCCGGTCATTCACACACCCAGGGACTTCCGCTCTTGGCACATGGGGCCAGGCACTCTGAGACGCGTGACTTTCAGCTGCTCGGCATTCCGAATGCGACAGCCAGTTTAGCCCCAGGGTTCCTTGCCTCCATTTGAAAGCAAGGCAGAAGTTCTAATTTGGATGATGACAATCCTTAGGTCAACAATGGCGGTTAATGGGATAGGTCCTCAAGAGAAGAAATCCGGAGTTCAAAAACAGGCCCGGCGGACCGTTTCAAACGGGAAAATCTGCGGTCACCAGCTGCCCGGCATCGAAGCCGTTCCCAGTTGTTTGGTTGCAACTTGTGAGATCGGGACGTGGCACCTCATGACTTTCTTGTCAGCCCGAATCGCACAAGCATGAAACGGATCGGGAGAATGTCCCCAACGGAGTCTCTTTTTTTTTCTTCTTTTCTTTTCTTTTCTGGGGTCCATGTTGGGAGTCTCTTTTGCTTTATTGTAAAGTGTCCCCTTTCTCTGGTGGTTTTCATATACCTTTGGCTCACGGGTCCGCTTCAACTCGCAGGGCTCCTCGGAGCCAATCCTTTGGCTGGAGACCATGGGGTGTACCTGCAGGGTATTCGAAGTTCAGCTGCTCACCCAGCCAGTGGACACACTTTACACGTTTTTTCCTGGCTCTCCCTTTTTTTTGGTGCTGGCCCAAAAAGTGTCCACTTGTTTTGGGCTGGTCACAAGCCAAGTGAGGCTCGGTTGAAAGGGAGACCAGTTTCAAAGGAAGGGACATCATTTTTGGGCCATCATTTTTGCGGGTCCTATTCCGTACCCGCGTGAAGCTAAGCGCTTGGCTATGGCTTGCTTCTTTTGATACATTCCCATTTCAGAGAGGCCGCAGCGACCTCGGGTCTGACCGAAACAACAGTCTGTTATGCCAGCGGCATGTCCGCTGCCAGCTGATTGGGAATTGTATACTTTGCTTGGAGCGGATTCGAGCAATGCGTCATAGGCCTCTGCGCATGTTGAAACTTTCTATGGAGCCCAAGACCCCAAATATCAGGGCCTTGAACCCCCAAAGGCCTCAAATAATATAATTTTAAGGCCTCCGGCTCAGGCCGCCGACATTACAGGCCTGCTTTCTTATTTGCGTCCCTTTGGAATTGTCCCCTTGCCCCCCTTCCCCTCTAAGATTTTTGCCCCCCTTTCCCTGTTGAGATCCATTCCCCCTTTCCCCCTAAGGCCCTTTCTCCCTCTGAGATGTTTTCCCTTTTCCTCCCTAAGATGTTTTCCCCCCTCTCCCTGTTGAGATCCTTTCCCCCCTTGCCCCCCTAAGGCCTTTTCCCCCCTGAGATCTTCTCCCTTTTCCTCCCTTTCCCCCCTAAGGCCTTTTCCTTCCTGAGATCTTTTCCCTTTCCTCCCTGAGATCTTTCCCCCCCTTTCCCTGTTGAGATCCTTTCCCCCCATTCCCCCATAAGGCCTTTCCCCCCGCTGAGATCGTCTCCCTATTCCTCCCTAAGATCCTTTGCCCTCTTTCCCTGGTGAGATCCTTTCCCCCCTTCGCCCTAAGGCCTTTCCAGATCTTCTCCCTTTTCCTTCCTAAGATTGTTTCCCCCCTTTCCCTGTTGAGATCCTTCCCACCCTTTCGCCCCTAAGGCCTTTCCCCCCCTGAGAGCTTCTCCCTTTTCCTTCCTAAGATCTTTCCCCCCTTTCCCTGTTTTTTCCTTTTCCCCTAAGATCTTTTCCCCCCTTTCCCTGTTGGCCTTTTTCCCCCAGATCTTCTCCCTTTCCCCCTAAGATCTTTCCCCCCTTTCCCTGTTGAGATCCATTCCCCCTTTCCCCCCTAAGGCCCTTTCTCCCTCTGAGATTTTTCCCTTTTCCTCCCTAAGATCTTTCCCCCCTTCCCTGTTGAGATCCTTTCCCCCCTTTCCCCCCTAAGGCCTTTTCCCCCCTGAGATCTTCTCCCTTTTCCTCCCTAAGATCTGCCACCTTTTCCTGTTGAGCCCCCTTTCCCCCCTAAGGCCTTTCCCCCCTGAGTTTCTCCCTTTTCCTCCCTAAGATCCCCAATTGAGATCCTTTTTCCCCCCTAAGGAGATCTTCTCCCTTTTCCTCCTTTCCCCTAAGGCCTTTTCCCCCCCTGAGATCTTTTCCCTTTCCTCCCTGAGATCTTTCCCCCCCTTTCCTGTTGAGATCCTTTCCCCCCCTTTCCCCCCTAAGGCCTTTCCCCCCGCTGAGATCTTCTCCCCCTATTCCTCCCTAAGATCCTTTCCTTTGCCCCCTTTCCCTGTTGAGATCCTTCCCACCCTTTCCCCCCTAAAGAGCCTTTCCCTTTTTTCCCCCAGATCTTCTCCCTTTCCTCCCTAAGATCTTTTCCACCCCTTTCCCTGTAGAGATCATTTCTCCCCTTTCCCCCCTAAGGCCTCCCCAGATCTTCTGCCTTTCCTCCCTAAGATCTTTCCCCCCCTTTCCCTGCTGAGATCCTTTCCCCCCTTTCCCCCCTAAGGCCTTTCCCCCCCTGAGATCTTCTCCCTTTTCCTCCCTAAGATCTTTTGCCACCTTTCCCTGTTGAGATCCTTTCCCCCCTTTCCCCCTAAGGCCTTTTTTTCCCCCGCGATCTTCCGCCTTTTCCTCCCTAAGATCTCTTCCCCCCTTTTCCTTGTTGAGATCCTTTCCCCCCCTTTCCCCCCTAAGGCCTTTTCCCCCCCAAGATCTTCTCCCTTTTCCTCCCTAAGATGTTTTCCCCCCTTTCCCTGTTGAGATCCTTTCCCCCCTTTCCCCCCTAAGGCCTTTCCCCCCCTGAGATCTTCTCCCTTTTCCTCCCCAAGATCTTTTCCCTCAGTTGAGATCCTTTCCCCCTTTCCCCCCGAGATCTTCTCCCTTTTCCTCCCTAGGATCTTTTCTCCCTGTCCCTGTTGAGATCCTTTCTCCCCCTTTCCCCCCTAAGGCCTTTTCAGATCTTCTCCCTTTTCCTCCCTAAGATCCTTTGCCCCCTTTCCCTGTTGAGATCCTTTCCCCCTTTCCCCCCTAAGGCCTTTCCCCCCCTGAGATCTTAAGGCCTTTTCCCCCCTGAGATCTTCTCGCTTTTCGATCCTTTCCCCCTTTCCCCCCTAAGGCCTTCTCCCCCCCGAGATCATCTCCCTTTTCCTCCCTAAGATGTTTTCCCCCCTCTCCCTGTTGAGATCCTTGCCCCCCTTTCCCCCCTAAGGCCTTGTCCCCCCTGAGATCTTCTCCCTTTTCCTCCCTTTCCCCCCCTTTCCCCCCTAAGGCCTTTTGCACCCCTGAGATCTTTTCCCTTTCGTCCCTGAGATCTTTCCCCCCCTTTCCCTGTTGAGACCCTGTCCCCCCCCCTTTCCCCCCTAAGGCCTTTCCCCCCGCTGAGATCTTCTCCCTATTCCTCCCTAAGATCCTTTGCCCCTTGAGATCCTTTCCCCCCTAAGGCCTTTCCAGATCTTCTCCCTTTTCCTTCCTAAGGTTGTTTCCCCCCTTTCCCTGTTGAGATCCTTCCCACCCTTTCCCCCCTAAGGCCTTTCCCCGCCTGAGAGCTTCTCCCTTTTCCTTCCTAAGATCTTCCCCCCCGTTCCCTGTTGGCCTTTTTTTCCCCAGATCTTCTCCCTTTCCTCCCTAAGATCTTTTCCACCCCTTTCCTTGTAGAGATCATTTCTCCTCTTTCCCCCCTAAGGCCTTTGCTCCCAGATCTTCTCCCTTTCCTCCCTAAGATCTTTCCCCCCCTTTCTCTGCTGAGATCCTTTCCCCCCTTTCCCCCCTAAGGCCTTTCCCCCCCTGAGATCTTCTCCCCTTTCCTCCCTCAGATCTTTTGCCACCTTTCCCTGTTGAGATCCTTTCCCCCCTTTCCCCCTAACGCCTGTTTTTTCCTTCTTAGATCTTTTAAGATCTTTTCCCCCCTTTTCTTGTTGAGATCCTTTCCCCCCCTTTCCCCCCTAAGGCTTTTTCCACCCCTGAGATCTTTTCCCTTTCGTCCCTGAGATCTTTCCCCCCTTTCCCTGTTGAGACCCTGTCCCCCCCTTTCCCCCCTAAGGCCTTTTCCCCCCGCTGAGATCTTCTCCCTATTCCTCCCTAAGATGTTTTTCCCCCCATTCCCTGTTGAGATCCTGTCCCCCCTAAGGCCTTTCCAGATCTTCTCCCTGTTCCTTCCTAAGGTTGTTTCCCCCCTTTCCCTGTTGAGATCCTTCCCACCCTTTCCCCCCTAAGGCCTTTCCCCGCCTGAGAGCTTCTCCCTTTTCCTTCCTAAGATCTTCCCCCCCGTTCCCTGTTGGCCTTTTTTTCTCCAGATCTTCTCCCTTTCCTCCCTAAGATCTTTTCCACCCCTTTCCTTGTAGAGACCATTTCTCCTCTTTCCCCCCTAAGGCCTTTGCCCCCAGATCTTCTCCCTTTCCTCCCTAAGATCTTTCCCCCCCTTTCCCTGCTGAGATCCTTTCCCCCCTTTCCCCCCTAAGGCCTTTCCCCCCCTGAGATCTTCTCCCTTTTCCTCCCTAAGATCTTTTGCCACCTTTCCCTGTTGAGATCCTTTCCCCCCTTTCCCCCTAAGACCTTTTTTTCCCTTCCCCCTTTTCCTTCCTAAGATCTTTTCCCCCCTTTTCTTGTTGAGATCCTTTCCCCCCCTTTCCCCCCTAAGGCCTTTTCCCCCCCAAGATCTTCTCCCTTTTCCTCCCTAAGATGTTTTTCCCCCCATTCCCTGTTGAGATCCTGTCCCCCCTTTCCCCCCTAAGGCCTTTTCCCCCCCACCTTTCTTTATTCAGATCCTTTCCTCCCTGTCCCCCCTAAGGCCTTTTCCCACTCTGAGTTCTTCTCCCTTTTCCTCCCTAAGATCTTTTCCCCCCTTTCCCGCGTAAGATCCTTTCCCGCGTTTCCCCCCTAAGGCCTTTTCCCTCCAAGATCTCCACCCTTCTCTTCCCAAAGTCTTTTTTTCCCTTTCCCGTTTGAGATCCTGTCCCCCCATTGCCCCCTAGGGCCTGTTCCCCCCGAGAAAGATTTCCATTTTCCTCCCAAAGATCTTTTCCCCCCTTTCCCCCCTAAGGCATTTTTTCCCCAGATCTTCTCCCTTTCCTCCCTGAGATCTTTCCCCCCCTTTCCCTGTTGAGATCCTTTCCCCCCATTTCCCCCCTTCATTTCCAGATGTTCCTTCACCAGCATGGGCAACATCCCCAGCATTACTTGCATCATCCGCATCCTTGGCAGGCGCTGATGCGGATGATGCAGGTGATGCTGGCGATGTGCCGCTGGAGCTGCTAAGGATGCGCTGCGGACCCGGGGGGAATCGAACACCCCAATGTTTTTGACAAGCTGAGTTGCGCAAGCCCGCGCAATGAACAGATGTAGTGGGGCGTCTTCCGGTCACCGCGCGGTACGTGGACCCCCCGCCCCCCCCCCCCGCAATAGTCTGAAATTGTGCCCCTGGGGAGGGGTTAGGGGAGGGGTAACAGGTAAAGAGGTAAGGAGCATTTTTTATGTCCAACACGCCGTCTGTTGTCGGCGGATTTGAGGTCTTGGGCTCCTAGGGCTACATGTTTCACCCGAGGACTATCGAGTCAAATTGGGTTGGTTTTCTCTCTGAAACGTTGACGGGTCTCGCTCCCGCTTTCCCCCAGGTTCGGTTGGACCTTCTTTGCGGCCTGCCTCATCGACTTTGCCATGATGATCCTAGGTGCGCTGAACCGCAAAAAGCCGCGAATCAAAAACGATTGAGTCCCCAAATTGGCCGCTCAAAGCGAATTGTTTGTTTGGTTTGGCAGCCCGTTTCTCAAGGTCCAAGTCGAACCTTGATACATTGTTTCTTTGGCGCATTTTGCCAAGGGCTGTTAGGACTTTAACTTTTTGCCAACTAATGGGTTTCCACTAAACCACTAAAATCTAAAACTTTTAGCAGGAGCAGATTTCGCAACCGAGGTTTAGCGTGCCCCTTTTTTCTAAAGCCACCGGCCGAGTACCCAAAAAAGAAAAATGCTCGGCATGCCTGGTCCTTTGAGCAGCGCAAGCCCTTCTCTCCCTCAAATTTCAAAGCAACCTAGAGGTTTCTTGCAGGGGAACCAATATGACGATTTGATTGGATATGCGTTTTCCAAAGGGCTGATTCCCTTCAATTGGTCGGCTTCCTTTTGGTTTTCCAAGCACCAGCTCCAGAGGCAGTCGGCTTTTTGGGATCACTGCTGGACATTGACTCGCATCCGATGCTTGCGACACCTGAGTTCGGTGTTTACAGCATCGCCAAGAGCTCTATGTTGGTATTGAGCCTGGCCATTAGATTCCATTTGCTGAAATGAATATGTTTTATTATCCCCCTGTTGGTTTTAAGGGGATTCGACGACTCTTGGACATATTATTTTATTTGTTTTAGCTTAAGCAAATGGAGGTTAGAATCATTCGCAAGTTGCCATTGGTCCATTTCCCATGTGCCCAGAACTAGAGTGAGGACTTGGCCCTGTTCCATGCTCTTTGGTTTGGGGGGATGCAACCTCGCATCTCTTCATAGTGTGGATGGACAGAATCCTGCACCACTTGGGATGAAGCCCTCTGAATGCTATAAACCAGGCGTAGTATAGTAGAATGCTTGCAATGCTTCAGGCGCATAGTGGTGTTTTTCGTCACGGGAACCCCAAAAGGTGGATGTTGCTGCTCCCTTGCCCTTCAAAACCACCAAACAGGGCCAGCTCCAAAACAAGGAACCGCACTCAGTTCGCCCCAGTTTACCCCACGTAATCGCCGGCCAGGAATGATCTTCATCTGCATGTTCAAAGCCTCTGACGATGAGGAGACTGTGGCTCTTCAGGCGGATCTTTGGGCCCCGGGCTTCTGGCTTGGCCCCATCCCTAAAACACAAACTGGAGACATGCGCGAGACTCTCGACCCAAAAGCAAACCGCCCAACAGCGCAAGGTGAATGTGGAAAGGTCCTTGGTGAGCAGCTGAAGGGACATGGCTGTGGGTCAAGAATAGGGTAACCCCAAAATGGCTTGCCCTGGTAAATGGAAACATGGACTAAAACCTGCGGTCCAATTCCTGGTCGTGACTATTCTTGACCCATACCCAAGTGGCCCTAATGTCAACTCCAAACAAATCTGGTTCAGTATACTTGCTGGTGCTCAGTAAGAAAAGGGAATGAACCCAGTGAGTTCCCTGAACGGAAACCAGAAAAGGATGGTTTATAAGGGTCATTCCATTTCTCATTCGCTGCTGAGCACCAGCAAGTGTAACTCAAACCCCTCTGGAAAGGGACTCCCAAAAAGTCAAGGCCGCTTGAAGCTTGCAGCGAGCATTTTTGTTTTTGTTGTTGTTGTTGTTGTTTTTCCGCGGGCCGCTTCCGGTCGGATTCGGTGGGATTCGGTGGGTCGTCTTGTCCCGGGAATCTCCGGTTCGCAAGGGTGACCGGCTGAAGCGCAAACCCAGGTCCCCCAGTGCCAACTTTGACCCTAGGTCCCGCAGCTAGGTGCCAACTTTCTCACCGTTTCTTTTTTGGTTGGGAGATTCGGTTCCCCTACTAAAACAGTCTTTTTGGTTGGGAGGGTTCGGGACCCTACTAAAATAGACAGAAACAAATCTCGGGTACCAACTTATTCTAACCTCTCAAATCTGGAGGACCTAGCCAAAGTGTGGGTTCCGGGGTTGTGTGCTTCAGTCAGAACACATGTGGGTCTGTCATTTTGTAAGGTACCGCTTTTGGATGGCTTTAAGGGGGAACCAGAGGAACGCCACCATTTTGGTGGGTCCCCGAAAAGGGACAAACCCGTGTTGGTTCTATCATGCCAACTGCAGGGGTTTGAACCAGTGGCACATTGACTTCCGCTTGTGGCAGACGTTTGTCTTTTTTTCTTGTAGCGATGCTACAGTTGTTAACCACAAGTGAAGCTAGCGTTTGGTTGTTTTATGAGACCCTTCATGTACCTGGAGTCACCATGACCCATAAAAAATGGTGAGTTACCCAAAATAATGGGGTCAATCATTTCCTGATATATTGCGTCCACTTCCCACAACCCCCCCCATTTGTTTTGTTTGGCCTTCAAAGTTAAAAGACCGTTTGTCCGGAGGCCTATCCACGACTAACGAGGCCTTCTCAATTTTCGCAGCGCTATGACCACAAGCACCCACCTGTGAACTTCAAGCAACAAGAATCATCCCTCGATAAGCAAACAATAAACAAAACAAGTTGTGTTGTTATGTGTGTGTTTTCCCTTATATATATATATATGTATATTTTCTCTGTTTTTCCTTCTTTTATATACATATATGTATATATATATATATGTATTATTATTTTTTAAGCGAGCCACAAAAAACATCCCTCGATGCTTCTGCGCCCCGCGCCAGAAAGAGAAAGACCGAGCTTTCGCTGATGCGTCGGGGCACACGATTTTCCTGGGACCGGGATGGCGTTTGCTTTTGCAACAATTTTGACAGCTATTGGGCAACGGATCTTTAGACTTCAACTTTTTGGTTGAAATAAATGTGTTTTCCGCTAAACCTCCAAAAAGTGATTCACTGTTCGCGGGTCAACAGCAACCAAGAAATGTTGATGACTGAGGTGAATGACATGGTGCAGATGTGTGCAACAGTACAGTATGCATAATTCATGCGTGCATATCTATACATAGGTACATTTTAAGAGTTGGATTTCTTTGTGCACACGTAGAGAGTGTGTTTGCTTTTACACATGCGTCTCATTTTTTTGGTTCACCGGGGGCAAGTTCTGTCACGCGTCGATGGACATGCAGCAAAACAGCCTGGCTCTGTCGCAAGCAGTGGGTTGCTTCCTTTTTCCAACTTTTTTGGGAACGGTTCCGATTCCATTAAAATCAACCAACCAAAAAAGGATGCCAATTTGTTCCATGGGAATCCACTGGGCATTTGAGCTGGCCTTGCTTGCATTGTGACGGAATGATCGATATCAGGCTCCAGGGGAATGGTAAAGCAATGTCCAATTGGACGCGTATTGGTGGATTTCCCGATCGCAGCCACTCAGCCACTCAGCCACTCAGCCACTTGGAGTGGCGGAGTGGCTGAGTGGCTGCGTGTCAGAATGGCTGAGTGGCTGAGTGGCTGTGTGTTGTTTGGGGGTCAGAGCTGGGGGTCAGAGTGGCTGGGTGGCTGAGTGGCTGGGGGGTCAGAGTGGCTGAGTGGCTGAGTGGCTGGGGGGTCAGAGTGGCTGAGTGGCTGGGGGGTCAGAGCTGAGTGGCTGAGTGGCTGGGGGGTCAGAGTGGCTGAGTGGCTGAGTGGCTGAGTGGCTGAGTGGCTGCGGATCAGTTTCCACCCGGATTGTTCATCCTCTCGTTAAACCGCTTGATTTACTCATGCAGCGCATGTTGTAGTCTGGGAGAGCGAGACACTCACATGCTGTTGCTTTTTCTCCATGCATTCGCATGCTCCTGCATTTGATTTGAGGGTTTGTCACGGAGCAAAGTGAGCTTCAGAGACTTCGGCTTCACCCTACACAACGCTGCGTCGTTTATGAGTTGCCCAAATTGCCGGTTAATAGAGAAAGAGATGCGAATACTACACAGGTGGCTCGTCTTTTGGTGAGGGTATCCTTTTTGGGGGTGGTTTAAAGGGAAGCCAAAAATTGCATTCAAGAGGGGTCCAACCTTTAAAATGACACACGTATAGAACTGGCTTGGCTTTTTGGCTCGTGACTCTGCCACACGGGGAGCTGGTGCTTGCATCCAACGTCTTGTGCTAAGGTTTTCGGGTTGACTTTTTTGTCGAGTCCCTTTCCAGAGGGATTTGAGTTGCACTTGCTGGTGCTCAGCAGGGAATGAGAAATGGAATGACCCTTATAAACCATCCCTTCTGGTTTCCGTTCAGGGAACTCCTGGGTTCATTCCCATTCCCTGCTGAGCACCAGCAAGTATACTGAACAGATTTGTTTGGAGTTGACATTAGGGCCACTTGGGTATGGGTCAAAATTAAACCACCAGGATATGGACCGCAGTTTTTTCGTCTTTGTTGCCATTTACCAGGGCAAGCCATTCTGGGGTTACCCTATTTTTGACCCACACCCACTTCAATGCATTCGCCAGAGGCTGGAAGAGCAGCGGGATAACAGGATGCCTGATGACTACGTGGGGGGCCCTCGGAGAATCGGGATCGATCCCGGTTGTCGCTGATCCACCTTAGATGATAAACAGGTGCGCGCGCGCGCTCGCGTGGGTGTGTGTGCGTGTGTGTGTGTCTGTGTGTCTGTGTGTCTGTGTGTCTGTGTGTCTGTGTGTCTGTGTGTCTGTGTGTCTGTGTGTCTGTGTGTCTGTGTGTCTGTGTGTCTGTGTTTCTGTGTGTCTGTGTGTCTGTGTGTCTGTGTGTCTGTGTGTCTGTG